CTAGCCATGATGATGGCAGCTTATCAATGATTCCCAAAACAATTAGATTGTCCTCCAATTTTATTCTCTTGAATCGAACTTGAAGTGCAATCATATGAAAGTCTTGTGCTTGTTCTACTAGAGACTTTCTTTCCACCATTTGGTAACGAAGAAACGGCTAACGACATAATTGTTTATACCAACTTGTTTAGTATCCTATTTTAGCTGCAAGGTCTTCCAAATCTTCTTTGCATAAGGGTAAGTAGTTTCACAGTAATATAAAATTAATCCGAAAGACAATTCAAAAGATAATAATAACAATTATACTCATCTTTTTAAAATTACTCAATTTTTTATTGGAGCTCAATAAGGTCGTCGTCAATATGTCATCGGTGCTAAAACACGTATTCATATAAATGAATGAATCAATTAATCACTCCAATTGTTACAATATATTATATAATTATTAAAATATACCAACTCTCTCCGTCTTTCTACAAGTATTCTTGTGTGATAAGAATGAATCTCAATACTAATTTGATGGCATTGAGTGGAACAAAGCCCTAGAAGAAAATAAACTGAAACTCTCGTTAATTAAGGCTTATTTTCTCGAGGACCTCTCTCCCTCAAAAATGATCTTAACCCAAAATTATTGTTAGGACCCTTTCGTACTCGTGGCCTATAAGCTGAATTAAAATGTCTTAGTATTATGTATGAGTATAGTATTATTGTGTTGAATATTGGTAAGTGAATGAAACTATTCAAAAAAAAAGACTACTTTTGGGCCGGTGTCAATTGAGGGGACCGCCATGGATGTCGGTATAGAGCATGGTATGGTTGATTGTTATGTTTAAATAGTTATGAGGCGTAATTCTCAATAAGTAACGGAGAGTTTTGAATTAATTGTTGAGTTCATAACAATTATCAAATCGAAGAAACTGCTCCTATGTGCTACTGGCCAGATACTGGTTGTCCAGATTTTCCAAGCTTCAGACATACTAAGAACCGAAAGATTGGCAGATCATAATACACTCTCCAAAACGGCGAAGTGAAGAGCATGGTATGGGTGGAGCTCGGCAGACGGTGAAGTTTTGGGCGAATTTGTTCCCTGTGCAAAAAAAAAATAACAAAACTATGCCGTGCCCTTTTTTGTCCAAAACGATGCCGTCCCATTAAACAGCACAATGTGTGGTTAGTCTGTCAGTTCCTCACTGCAGAGCCGGCCCCGAATGCGTCTGCCCAAATCACCGCCTTCTCTCACCCTGTTCGTCTCTCTCTCTCTTTCTCTCTCTCTCTCTCTCTGCCCTAAAAAATCAATCTGCAAAGTTCTATCGTTCACTCCAACCAGCCCATATGTGACAATGCCTTATCGAGGTACTGCTGCTCTGCTTGATTGCTCTATTTTCACTCCGATACTTGGGTTAAAAGTTAGGTTTTACGATATGATGCAGTTTATCGTTATAATTTGATGATATATCTCTCTGTGCGTGGCTGAAATTGTTTCCTAACTCCATAATATCGTCGAGTAGAAAAACTCCAAAATATGCAAGTGGTAATGTTAATGCATGCTAACTGTTTGATTTAATGCTTTGCTAATGACGGTAATGGAACTCCCTTTTACTGATAGGTTGGTGTTTTGGAAAAACAATATATTCTTTGGAAAGCTTGTTAACTAAATTCGCAAACGTTGTCTACATATTGTCTGCGCTTTATGTTACCAATCTTTTCGCGGGGTAAAGACAGCAGAATCAAAATAGCAGCTATAACAAACATCAGTTTCTTCACATGCCCTCACACACAGACGAACAGGTTTTTGCCTCTTTAATTTTTGATCCGTCTATAGGTTGATTTTTGGTGGGTGACAAAAATATCAATACGGTTATCCAATATCTATCAATTTTTTTTTTATGGAACATTTTGCTGAAGTTCCCTGACAATCACTCCTTCAACTTCTAGTTCAAACGATTGAAGCAAAAACTCATTCCATTTATCAATAGGGCTTGGCAAGCAGTAGTGGACACAATCAGCTATGGTCACGGTCATATTTTCATGTGGCCAGTGACCATCTTGCCTCAACACCATTACTTTAGTAGTATCAAACAACCTAAATTTCAGTCCCCTCCTCCTCCCCTCCTTCTCTGTTGCTCTTAGTTCCTCAACTTGAGTAAAATAAAACTCTATAATATTCCAATCTATTTTCGTTTCTTGCTTTGAGAATGACTTTGTTCTTACACAGTGGCCACACTATTTCACTCCCTATTCTCAAAATCTGGAGGTGAGAACATCCTAAAAAATGTCACCCTCTTGAAGTTTTGAAGGCTTGAAGGGCTTGAAAGGTGGTTCCGGCCGAAGGCCATTCTGTGTCCCTGATACCTGGCTGGCGATTTTTTTTCATGGAAAAAATGATACCCAACTATCTTGCCATTTTCATAGTAGATAGAGTGCCTAGAGAACTATTGCTCAGATGAGATGATCGCAAAATCAATATTCTCTACCTGAGTGACCAAGGCCTCATCAACCTAATCTAAGTAGAGGTCCAAGAAGCTGCTGAGAGAATGAACATTAGGATCAGCATTGATTTAACTAAGTGAGTGGACCACAAAGCTGCTATGATTAAATTCATCCTTTTTCTTGGAATTCCTTGATTTTGATTTGGGCTTATTGGAAGTCAGTGTGTGGCTTGTAATCTTCACTTTTTAGCTTGTTGCATCTACTCTTATATTGTTTAATATTGATGGACTTCTTGTCCCTCGTGTTACTCTTTTTCTATATTAATAAAATATTTGTTGTTGATTGTCAATAAAAAATAAAGTCAGCGTTAGAATCTTGTATGTTGTATGTAAGAATGTAAGATACATCCATGGGTTTTGCCATCTAAAAATAAACAAAAAAAATAGGCCACCGCCACTTCAATTAGGCTTGTGAATTCTAGGCACGATACACTATTGCAACGCAAAATTGATATAGAATTAATGGGTATAGGTTTAGTTTTAGCGGGTTTGAATGATGAACACGTGGATTTGTCAAACTTGCTTAATAAATGAGTCTTCACAAACTCAAAACACATGCTTGGCATGCAAATAACACTACATTACAAAAACCGAACTATGTACTACTATAAATGGATTGAGTATGACTTGAACAACATTTGGCACAACAAAACTTAGACACAACACAAATCAGGTCATTATCGACTTTAACTAGAATACAAGGCTAGCAGTAAACAAGTGTGTGTTATAAGAACTTAAAGGTACACCAATGACTGCATTTGGTTCCTTACCAGTAAGTCTCAACAAAGGCCATAGACTTCCATTTGACCGTTTGACGAATTCCAAGAACTGAGTTGCATCAAACAGAGGTAGCTCATACCTCACAGTCATCTGGTTTCCACCTCCAATTAATGAATTTGAGATCTCGCCTCCCAAATTTCATTAAGTTTTGTTGATTATCGATCACACATTTTGTTGCGTTTGTGTAATGAGGTCTCTTGGGATATGGAACCTAATTGTAACTATAAATATCACGTTTATGCTCTTTTTTTATGCTAGTTGAATCTTCTGGATTATTGTCAGGAGGGATGAATCATTAACAACAATCCTCAGAGACTGCAATGAGGAATATGAATTGATGTAAAGATAGATCGTGGTAGTGATGAGAACAAAGGTTAGTACCTCTCTTTCTTTCTCCTCATCTAGTCTTTTGGCCCACCTTTTTATCTTTTAAAAGGGAAAATTTTTATATTTTTATCTCAAAAGATGCTTGTAGTTCTCACCTATAAACATTCTAATGTCTGAAATCGCCCAAGAAAATTGGAGATGATATTGAACTTTATTGAGACTATTATTTGATAAACTAATATCCAGAAAGCTTTGGCTCTAAATCATTTGGTATATTTGTTATGCCTAGTTCGTTTTACCAAGTCCAAATACAAGTACTTGGAGGCCTTTCATTTCCATGTTTCTCTTTAATCATGTTTCGTGATGAATATTCATTAGGTTACTCAAGCATAAGGAACCAAAGAAAAGAATGTATAGGGGTTAAATGGATGGTAGGGTTAGCATCAACAATTAAACCAAATAATTGTTGCTATTATAATTGTGGGACTTTTCTTTCTTCTTCATGATTTGATTGATTTAAAAATGAAAAAAATGATTATGCCATACATTTTTCATCAATTCTCTTGTCCAATAACTTTCTTCTTCCAAATCCTTCACCATTTTTGTCAAAAACCTCGTTGTTTCATTTTCACCCAAACCTCATTTAGGTCTAACTGGTTCAATGGCTATGTAACTTGCCATCAACTGTCCGAGTGAGGATATTTTATTTGCCCCCGATATGGACCATAATTATTATCCTTAACATTTTGTAGCATAGAGAAAAAAGCTCAGCCCTTTATTTCACTTGAACATACTCATAAAGTCCAAGTTTGTTCATACTAAGAGCATAGGGGTTATTTTAATCAATTTGCATTGATTAAATGAAAAATAAAAGTGGGCTAAATTAGACAACTAGCAACAACTCTTTATAGTATCTCCCATCTTGATTCAAATTTAAGTCAATGTTTAACTAAAGAACTTAATTTGTTACAAAGGGTTTCAATGGACAAACTCATATTTAAAGTTGGGCAAAAATTTAAATTTAAAGGAGGTTGAAATATGATCTTTGAAGGAGAATGAAAACTGACCATTGATGATTTAAGTAAAGGTTTTGAATTTCCCTTGATTTGAGTAAAAAATTGAGTTTATTTTCATTTGACATAAGTTTTAGTAAAGAATTGGAGCTTGTTTTTAACTAGTTTTTACTTAAATTTAAATTTGAGTCAAGATTTGAGAGTTAGGGTTGGATATGCTCATACATTTGTCAAAAACCACATGAGGGAAGTTGCTAATTGTCAAATTCCAGGAGATTTGTTTTTTTGTAAATTACCCTAATTTTTGTGTGAAAAATAGTAATTTGAAAAATTGGCTGAAAGAAAGTTGGACCATCAGTTAGATTGAAAGGTTGGCAACCTTTTGGAATATGTACCATAATAATCATTAAATCATTTTCAGCAATGCATTTGAATCAAGTCTAATTGCAAATCCACCAGTTGAAATAGACAAGACAATATCATATACTAACGCATAATACTTTCCATTTCTTTGCAATGCATTATTTAAAATACTTTAGCAACACACTACCAAACACAAACATAACATTAATGCCACAGAAGAGTTTCCATCAGAATGATATGGGATTTCAGGCATTCTGGCAAGTAAAACTACCAAAACAGAAAACTTCAAATATGTGAAACAACATAAGGTGAACTGTGACAAGAACCAAGATATTAAAAGCAACATGCAAAAACCTAATCAGCATTGATGGCAATTATGTCCATGACCTTAGCAACAACTTCCTTAGAGTCCTTCAGCAGCTTGAGACGTTTGTTCAATATCTCACGCCTTACGACAATCGATGGCGCTTCTTCTAGCAACTGTTCGAGTCCACCACCATGAGGACCCATGAGTTCATTCACTATCTCCATCTCCATGTCCCTGTTCACCAGACTCTTAACACTAAATAGCAGGTGCAGAGCCATGCAATCAACAAGTCTTTTCAGAACAATCTTCCAGTACGCAGTAATTCTCATTTTTATGTCAAATGCTTGGTCTCTAATATTAGGGAAGAACCGCAAATGCCCAACTTCAACATCCCCAAAACCATCAAAAGTGATCTGTGGGGACTTCCAATTATTATTCATAACGTCAAGGAAGACATTATTGTTAGCCATGAGCTTACCCCATAGTGTCATATATTCAGGATCGCAAGTGTAATCGGTGATCTTCTCCATCTCAATTATCTCCACCACTCGATCAACTGACATTTCCTTCCTCTTGGCAATAAGGTTTTGGGCTGCTCTTTTTGTAGATGACTTTAGTTGTGGATAATGTTCAGAGTGCCGCATCAAAACAGCAATCACCACTGTCTCAATGTAGTCCCATATGTCAGAGAGAAACTGAACTGGTGATGCTGATATCTCATTTACTTTTTTCTGCAGGAGCATGAGAAAAGCCGTGCGAGGAAGGAAATTTGGTAGCCCAATACCTCTGGTTTCCTCAAGAACCTTTATCTCCTTCATTAGAAAATTGTCCGTGTAGTTATTTTCTGAACTCTTTTGCAGTTCCTGAGCACACTGGTTGAGCATTTCTGCAAGTCGTGCAGTGCAATGCATGTGTTTGTCATCTGGGTATTCCTCAAACTCGCCTCTCAAGAGGACTTTCCTGAGAGACTCCACGGAGGATCCAATAATCTGCATCAAAGCAGACATTGCTTCTGGAACAGAAGTCAGATTCTTAGGCATTTTGTTGAGTTCTGAAATGTTTGCAGCCTGCTTGTCATTAATCTTTTTGTCAATCTCTGGCAAGCATTTTCCTATTATTGAAGCTTGAATTTGCACCAACTTTTTGGCCAGAACTGGAATACCGACCATAGATTTGTCAATTTTTGAGAGAAGCGGGTGGGTTTCGAATAAATGAGCTTCTTCCTTTCGAGCTTCATCATACGATTCATCACCTATGCGATTCCTAACGCACACATAGCCAAGCCCGATATTCACATCATCTGCCATTACTTTATCTAGCAGACCTTCAGGAGCTTTGTCGGCTTTGGTAACAACAGCCAGAGTTCTCAGGCCGGTCTTGTCCACCCGCTGTGACATCCTGATGGATTCACAAGTCGGAAAATCAACAGTTGCAGATAAAACATTCAGTATAATGCTCTCTTCTGGCCTTATATACTCCATTATTATGGCTGATATCTGCTCATATATATCATCAGGCTGCCCATGAACAGGCACCCTAGTGATTCCAGGCAAATCAACCATTGTAAGATCAGGTACACCATTTTTCTTCACTACTAATGTTAATGGGGTGTGTGATATGCCTTTATGAGAGCCAGCAATATCATCAGTTACTTGATTTATGGCATCAGAAATATGGGCTTCACTGATCTGGACAGTTCCACCCATAAATTCCAAGTGAAACTCCGGGAGAGGATCTGAGTGATGCTGAAGCCTCATTATGAGTGGCACCCTGGTGCAAATGCCTTGGCCTCGGGGGAGGCTGATGCCAGCAAGTGATTCAAGAACACTAGACTTTCCGGACGATTGGTCACCAACCACCACAATTGTTGGAAGCTGTATACCTTCCTGCATGACCTTTAGGAGGCGGAGCTTATCAATTGCATCAAGCAGGGGGCGTATTTGATCATTGTAAGATGACACGATCGGTGCCTCGACTGGAGTAGGCAGTTCTTCATCAATCATAGCTATGGGATCTACAAGTATAGGAACAAGAGCAGAAGAGGAGTTTGTTTCAGTTTCAGGGATGTTGTGGTTCTGCCTAGCCATTTTCTTTAAGGCAGTTGGTTTTTTTTTTCCTCCAAGAATTTGTGTATGTTGGATGGTTTGGGGGGGTTAGAAAGCAGAAGGAAAGTTTTGAGGAGTGAATTGTTGGTAAGTGAGACAATGAAAAGTTCTCACAAAAGCAGTTCGCGTGATATACTAGTTGATTTTTTTTGTTTTAAAAAAAAAAAAGATGACATGAAATCCTTTGGGGCACATTTGTAGAATCCTAGTCTTTTGTCCCAAGTGTTTCAGTCCACTGATTTGAGAATCTCGTTCGTCATCTTCACCAACAAATTAAAAAGTAACAAGTTTTATTTTAAAAAAATGGTAAGTTCCATTCAAAAAATTTATAAGTGAATTTAAAAAATAATTAGTAAATTCAAAAAAGTGAGTGCACTATAAAAATTAATAAATTTTATTTAAAATTCGGTGTATATATTAATATTTAAAAAAAAGTGATAAAATATCAAAAAAAATTGTAAAACACTTCTCTTTATCGTATGGTTTGACCCATCTCTGCTTTGCATCTATTAAAGTGAAGTCAAGTCAAGTGAAGGTTGGTTCCCATCACCTACAAGTTGTTTCGAGTATGATTGTTAATCTAAGTTGAATTTTGCGAGTTTGAAATAAACTCGAATAATTTGATTATTTTATATGTAAATAAGTTGAATTTAAAAAATTATTTAAATTCAATTCATTTTGAAACACTAGTCGAATTTGAATCGAGTTTTATCTAAGTCGAGCCCAAATAACTTGATTCACAATTTTGTGTACCATAATTGAACCCCTACCATAATTGAACCCCAACTCCTTATATCCTCCGTATATTCCAAAAATTATAGAATGAAAATCCTTTCTCAATTTTTTTCATTATCCAATTCTTGTCATGCCCAAGGAATCCAGTCAACGGTGGAAGTCTTCGTTACGAATGTGGTGGGTCATTTGATGTCTCAACCAAGCAACTTCGATGAAAGCCTTTGGGTGGCCCAAAAGCTTAATTGAACTCGATTGAAACTTTACCCAAAACCAAAACATGCAAAAAAAAAAAAAAAGTTACACTAATTTTTTGGATTATCGAGTGAGTAATGTTAACTAGATCCCAAAAAATTATTTTAACTTTCTGATTTGATGATGTGTCAAGTTATATGGTCTCAACAAAGTAGTTCAATAGTTAAAGTTATTGGATCATATTACTATCATATCATTAATCCAACAAATAATGTCAATTTTTTAAGTTTAAATACTTGTTACTCTAATTGTGTCTAAATGATGTAAATGTAGGTAATATTAGAGGGATTAATTAAAGGCGGGTCTTGGTGTAACAATAAGGTTGTTCCATTATAATTTTGAGGTCACAGATTCGAGTCACGAAAACAATCTCTTTATTTATGGGGGTAAAACTGAGTCTATCTAACCCTTCCAAGACTGTAATGACGAGAACAACGTGTATTGTAAATATAGGTAAATGTTATCTCTGTCCTAAATTATGTAAATATAGGTAATGTCACCTGTGTAGCTTGATTAAACCTCTAATGCAATGAATTGGTTACTCCATTACTTTGCTATAGAATACACAAAAAACAGTTCTCCAGAGTGGGACCATGGTGGAAGACTTAGTGGAAGACCTCGACTATTGACATGGAATGTTATGCCCCCCACTTCTCACTTTGCATGCATTAGGATTGATAGGACTTTTTTATCGGACTCATTTTATTAATGGGATTCTTTACTATTTTAATTACTTTAGCAATCAGTTTTTGGATCAAAAAAAAATTACTTTAGCAGCTTGGGCCGGTGCTTTGGCATGGAGTGGGTGGATCCCATCTTCAACTACTTTCTCAATTCACACTCTTTTTTATGCTTTTTTTGGAGTAAAAATCATTAATAATAATGTTAAGTGGACTTAATTTTAAAACTTAATCAAGAATTTAATTTAATATAGTCATTGAATTAGTTGTAAATTTTATTGTTAAGTGAAATCCACTTCTAATTCAATAGTTAATTGTTTCTCAAATTAAATTTGACAACAGAAATAAATGTTCACTCTTTTTTACGAATTGTCTCTCGAATTACGCTATTTTTCCTATATTTTTTGGGAACTACGAGACTATTGAATGTTCATCCACTTGCTAAAAGCTAGAGAAATAAAAAATTTCATAATAGAAAATAAATTGTTACCAAAAGGTGTGAAAAAGTGTTATATGATGTGCCTGTAGATATGTGATTTATCATTGTAGAAATCTCCTAAAGATGCTCATGTGGTCAGTTTCGTCATTGCACTTAGATTTATTTATCTTTGTGTGTTTATGTTTATCTCTATGTCTATGTCCATGTCTATCTCTATGTTCATATGTTAAATACAAATGTCGATTTGTTTGATTTTATCCCTAAACAATATTTTTTAGTTAATTATATTCTCACATGTCCTTTGATTTTTTTTTTAATTTATTAATTTTATCCTTAGTCAATATTATATTTTTTGGATGTCAAATCAAAGAATGACCTTCATTTCAACTTAAGTTTAATATTATGGTTAGGAAATTAAATTCTCATTTTATAAAAGTACAATAACAGTCAAGATTTATTCAATATTTATTTACTTTGATCCAATTATACACAACTCATCTCACAAAAAAAATTCAACTCAAAAACATGATTTTTTTTCTTCACAACTCTCAATGATAAACAACTCAATCAACATATTTCTCAATATCAAAAAACATTCACCTCTCATTTCCATCCTCTATCTTTCTCTTATTTTTTTCTCAGTTTACTTTAGTTTGAACCTATGTAATTTTAAAAAATAAATATTTAAAATATAAATATTATAATATCAATCCTCAATTTTTGATATTACAGATTGGCTTCTGACACAAAATTATGAAAAATGTTACATAATTCAAATGAAACCCAACAGTTAAAACTCAAATACACATCATCTTTTGAACGAGTGTGGGATGAGTAGGTCCCACTTTTTGAGTTTTATTTGAATTTTTGTAGTATTGCCCTAAAATTATTGCTAGTATCCGATATTAGTCCAGGTTCTAGGAGATGTGGCCTCTATTCTTTAATTATCCAAAAAAACCTTAATTATCTCGTAAAGATGCTCATGTGGACAGTTTCCCCATCTGTTATTAAACAATTTCTGGAAGTAAAAGATGGCAAATGAAATTTGCTTAATAACGTCTTGGGAGAGATCCATATTTGTTGACCCGACTCAGAACTGATTTGGCCAAGACAACATGATTCGGGTCGGGTCATAAAATCCAGCAAGGAAGGATGATTTTTATGTCATAGTGGCTGATAAAAAGACAAAAAAAAAAAAGAAAATATAGAAAAGGAAAATGCTAAAAGGCAGGGAAATAATTACAATGTGGGCCCTATTGTTAATTTTTAGTAAGAAAATTGTAAAATGATGAGGAGAGAGGTTGTTAGGGTCGCTGTCAAAGGCTAGTTGGCCCTTTATCTCAGACGAAACAACCTGTAGTGGGGGCCCACAAAGGGGCCAACCCACTTGCAATATCAGTCCAAAACTGTACGAGAAAGAGTTTTGCTCTTATGATTAGACCAGTCGCAGGTGGACTCACTAACGCGTTAATCTCTCCGAACACAGCCATTTTCGTATGAAACATTTTTCACTCTTATGTATGTCCGGTAATCGTGCGTCGAATAGAAATGTTTTGTGTTAGATAGAGTAGATTTGTGTTAAAAAAATTTTAATTTATATTCTATTTGTTTATATAAATAAATGCAATTATTATATCTATACACAAATTATTTATTAGACAGATTATCCGATATAACATGTGTCACCCACAAATAAGATAATAGGTTAAAGTATTTCGAGTACATACAAAAAATCATCAATTTGTTACACATTATATATGTTTGACTTATTTACTATAATAATAAATCAAGGCCGAGCAAAAAAATAAAGATAAAAAATAAACATTAAATGACTACTAAATTTGAATGAGTTTAAAAGATGGGAAGTGTGAGATAAGGCAGAGGTTCAGAGACCTAACTTTTTCTAAAAAAAATTATAGTACGACTATTAACGGGTTAAACGGACTTAAACTATTTTATGGGTTAAACACGAAACCGATTCATTTATTTTATGGGTCTACAGAGTTAACCCGTTAACTACCGAAACCCGTTAAGACTACGTCCAAACCCGCTAAATCTGTGTCGGATTCGTGTCAACTTCACGACTCGTGTTTAAAATTGTCAATTTTACTTTTATGTGAACTCTTTAATATAAAACATTTTTCAAAACGATCTACATGTAATTCATCGTATGTGCTAATTAGAAATAAAAACGTATATTTATTAGATAAAAAATACTACATAACTTAAATAAAATTCAAAATTAAAACTTAAATATATATTACTCCTTAGATGAGTGAGTCCCACTGAAAAAATTAATGGGACCTATTCATTGAAATAATGATATGCATTTAACTTGTACCTTTTTTAGTTTTATTTGAATTTTATAACATTGCTCTTATTTGATATCTAATCAAATTTTCTTTACAAAAAATTTTGCCCAAGTTTTTCCCCGCCAAGCGAACTTCCAATGAGCAAAAAACTCATTCCATTTGCTAATTGGGCCTGGCCAGCACCAGTGGACACAGTCAGCCGCGCTCACATTTTCATATGGCCAGTGTCCATTAATGGTTTGGGTGCCATTCGGCCTCAGTATACAATTGCTTCATTGGTAAAATACAACTCCATGAGGCTTAACCCAAAAAAAAAAAGATGAATAATTTTTCACTAATCGGGTAGAAGGTGACAACCCTAATAAATCGACTATAAAGGTGGCTGTTAGCTACATCAGCATTCAAATTCCTTCATCGTTGTTATCATTTCGTGGTTTGAGAATGACCTTTGTCCTGACACAGTTTCCGCCTTTATTCCACTCCCCATTCTCTAAATATGGAGGTGAGAACGTCCTTAAAAAAAAAAAGTGACACCCTTGAAGTAGTGAAGGCTTAGAAGGGTTGAAAGGCGGTTCGGAAAGGTCATTTTGTATCCACTATACTTGGAGAGGCTGGTAATTTATTCTTTTTTCATGGCAACCCAACAACCTTTCCATTTTCTTAGTAGATAAAGGGCCTAGAGCCCACAACGTTGAAACTCTCAACCTGAGCTGCCCAGGCCTTATCAACCTGATCTAAGTATAGGTCCATGAGGCATTTGAGATAATGGCCATTAGGATCAGCATTACTTAAATCACAGGTGGTTTCTTTTCCATGAGATACATCCACAGGTTTTGGCCACCTAAAAAGAAGCACAAAAAAAAAAGAAGCCATAACCTGTTCAATTAGGCTTGTGAGTTCTAAACTTAATCCACTCATACGAAACAAAATGAATACAAAATTAGTGAGTATATATTTAGTCTTAGCGAGTTTAAATAATAAACAGGTGAATCCATCAAACTCATTCAATAAATAAGTCATCCAAACAACTAAACACGAGATATGCTGCACAACAGCAACATTAAAACGATACTATACAATATGATCCCAGAAATATATTACTATAAATGGATCTTGTATGAATTGGATAGAAATTAACACAATAAAACTTAGACACAAACTTAACTTGACAAAATCCATTATCAAAAATTAACACCACACAATCCATTATGAAGAATTAACTTTAATGAAAGTCTTATAGTAAGCAAGTGAATGGAATAATAACTTAATTGAGTACTTACACTGGCTAGTAGGCACACCAACGACCATGTGTCCAAAGACCATGTCCAGGTACTACTTCTATTGCTCTATTTCCACTCCAGTGTTTGCTCAAAATGTAATGTTTTATGATGTGATGAAGTTGATCACCATAATTTCATACAATCTCTCAAAAACTGCGTAGTATGCAAATTGTATTGTTTGGGTATGCCAACTGTTTGATTTAATGCTTTACTGATGGCATTTGTTAGGGAACTGTGTTGTACTGAGGTTGGTGTTTTGGGTTGAACAAATGCCAAAACAGTTTTAACTACTTTTCCTTCTTCTGTGGCCTAATACTTTTCGAAGTTCCAATTAATGATTATATCTGCAGAAACCCAAAAGGGGAATTTGCTACTTGTCAAATTTCAGGGGATATTTTGTAGACCACTGTAATTTGTTATAGAACAGTAACCTTGGGTCATGACAAAAGGCATCGACCCATGTGAAGCATTGGATCCAACGTGGAACTGACTAGATCCGTTAATTAACCCATTAAGTGATGTAATCTTGTTCTATCTGACCCTTGGATCTAATGTTGATCAATGGACAATCACATTCTTACTTAAATAATAAGTGCAAATCCACCGGCTAACAAAGAAGGTAAAATCATCTCCTAATGCATAATAGCTTCTATTAATTTTCAATGCATTCTAGTTGAGCAAAATTGCCAAGTACAAAATAACTGTGAGAAAATACAAAAGTACTTGTTTTATGCGTAAATCAACAGACAATCTTGCAAGCAAAACTACCAAAACAGACCTTCAAATCTGCCAAACAGAGTAAACTGCGACACTAACCAAGATATGAAAAGCAGCATACATTGAAAACTTAATCACCAGTAATAGCAATTCTGTCCATGACCTTCGCAACAACTTCCTTAGAATCCTTCAGCAGCTTGATACTTTTGTTCAATCTCTCACGCTTTATAGCAACTGAGGGCACCTCTTCTAGCATTCGTTCTATTCCACCACCTTCAGGATCCATGTGTACATTCACAATCTCCATTTCCATGTCCCTGTTAACCAGACTCTTAACACTTAACAGCATGTGAAGAGCCATGCAATCAACAAGTCTTTTGAGAACAATCTTCCAATATGCAGTGATTCTCATTTTCATGTCAAATGCTTGCTCTCTCTGACTAGGAAAAAGCCGCAAATGCCCCAATTCAATATCCCCAAAACATTCAATCATAATCTTAGTGGGCTTCGAGTGATCATTCATAACCTCAAGGAAGGCATTATTGTTAGCCATCAGCTTACTCCATGCTGTCATGTACTCAGGATCACTGGTATAATCGCTAATCTTCTCCATCTCTATTATCTCCAAAACTCGATTCAATGACTTTTCCTTCATCCTTACAAAAATGTTCTGGGCTGCCCTTCTTGTAGAAGACTCGAGTGCTTGGTAATTTTCAGTATGCTGCATCAATACCTTAAGAACAACCGTCTCAATGTAGTCCCATACTTTCGAAACAAACTGTAATGGAGAACCTGATATCTCATTTACTTTTCTCTGAAGGATAATGAGAAAAGCTGTGCGAGGAAGGAAATTTGGCAGCCCAATGCCTTTGGTTTCTTCTAGAACTTTTATCTCCTCCATTAGAAAGTTCTCACTGTAATTACTTTCTGCACTTTTCCGGAGTTCTTCAGCATACTGGCTGAGCATTTCTGCCAGACGAGCAGTGCCATGCATGTGTTTGTCATCTGGATATTCCTCAAATTCACCTCTCAAAAGGATTTTCCTAAGGGACTCCTTGGAAGATCCAATAATCCACATGAATGCTTTCATTGCTTCTGCAACAGAAGAAAATTTTGGGGGCATCTTGTTGAGTTCAGACATGTTTTCATTCAGCTTGTCATTGATCTTCCTGACTATATCAGGCAAGCATTTTGCTATTATGGCAGCTTGAATTTGGACCAGCTTTTGGGCCAGAACTGGAATACCGACCATAGACTTGTCTATTTTTGAGAGAAGTGGATGGGTTTGGAATAATCTGGCTTCTTCATTTCGAGCTTCATCATATGATTCATCACCTATTCGATTCCTAACGCTTACATAGCCAAGCCCGATATTCACATCATCTGCCATAACTTTCTCTAGGAGTCCCTCAGGAGCTTTGTCAGCTTTGGTAACAACTGCCAGAGTTCTCAGGCCGGTCTTGTCCACACGCTGTGACATCCTAATGGATTCACAAGTTGTAAAATCAACAGTTGCAGACAAAACATTCAAGATAATGCTCTCCTCTGGTTTTATGTATTCTGTGATCATAGCTGATATCTGCTCATATATATCTTCGGGCTGCCCATGAACAGGCACCCTAGTGAGTCCAGGCAAATCAACCATTGTAAGATCAGGTACACCATTTTTCTTCACTACCAGTGTTAATGGGGTATGGGATATGCCTTTGCCACTGCCTGCAATCTCATCAGTTGCTTTATTAATGGCATCACATATATGATTTTCATCTGTTTGCACCGTTCTGCCATGAAACTGCAAGTGAAGCTCCGGAAGAGGATTTGAATGATGCTGAAGCCTCATTATGAGTGGCACCCTAGTGCAAATGCCTTGGCCTCGGGGGAGGCTGATGCCAGCAAGTGATTCAAGAACACTAGACTTCCCAGACGATTGGTCACCAACTACGACAATTGTTGGAAGCTGTATACCTTCTTGCATGACCTTAAGTTGTCGAAGCTTGTCAATTGCATCAAGCAATGGGCGTATTCGATCATTGTAAGATGACACAAGTGGTGCATCAACTACAATAGCTAGTTCTTCAGGAACCATAGAGATGGGATCTACATTTAGAGGAACAATGGCAGAGGCGCTATTTTCAGTTTCGGGGATGTTGTAGTTATGCCTAGCAGTTTTCTTCAATGTACTGCTCTTACCTCCAGCCATTCCAACACCCGTTTGTTGTATGTGAGAGTTAGAGAGATAGTTCTGTGATGGCCAAAGAAGCAGACAGTTATGCAATTATAGAGTCTCATATTGACGTTTTGAGTTCCATTTTTTAGCCTTTCCAAGACAAGGATAGCCGTTTCATTTCTCGAAGCTCGTACTTTGAACTTGTCACTAATTCTGGTTGCTGGTTTGAGGTCTCCAAAGGTGGCTTCTTGAGAATGTTCACGCGTGATCTTCGTAGTTGGGCTCTTAAACGTTGGGATGCTCAACAGTCTTGATTTTATTGACAGAAGACAACTAAACTACTTTCGATGGCCTAATCCTAATGAGTGCATACTAGTACATAATTTACCAAAATTTGCTAATCTGATTTATACCCAGCAATTGAAGATTTAGTCATGAGAATTTCCTAAACTGACAGAAGGTTCATGAATAGTGGGTATATTTATTTTCTCTTGATGTGCAAGTTGAGCTAGTGAAAAGGATAGAAAACTCCAATTAGACCCTGGAATCCCTGGACTGAAAATGAATAATATATTTTGAATTGAAAATACAACTTAAATTTGAATTTCAGCAAAATTTAAACGAATATTTGCATCTCTCATGCCATGCCTAGGAACATTTATCCAATCTCATGTTTGGAAATGATAAATCATGTACCGGTTGAGTTGGTCCAGCAATATTCACATCAAATAATGTCACATTTTTCTATAGTAAATTTATTTTTTGCACATTAATGAATGTGATAAACTAAAAATTTGCTTATCCTATATATGGATAGACCTGCCTAAAATAATATTAACCTACATACAATGAGTAACAAGAATATTTCATTTTTTTTGTCCCCAAAAATAAGTCTAATTTGTAATCTAACCGATTTTAAAGGATCTGTATATAAAGGAGTAATGTTTTATCATCGAATTAGGGAGTTTTAAAACATTTGTATACGATAGTAAAACTCCCAAATTCAACGGCCGACAATTATTTAGCAATAAAAAATTTAAAAAAAAAAATGGCACTTGATTAAGTACCTAGCCATGACCCATGAGATGAGAGTAGTTCCATCTTCATATCATGGCATATATACTCTGCTCCCGGAAGATTCCTTCTTAAAAGGTATATCCCTTACTCAAACTCAATGACAACAACGGGTCACCAGAAAAAAAGAAAAAAGATCAAAAAAAAAACGAAGTCGGATTATTTCATTCGACATCGTCAAACACTGAAACTCCCATAATTACGATAATTCAATAAAATTAAACGTGTTTTTTAATTATATGATATTAAATAAAAATATTTTCTAACGTACGGAATGCTGCGTGAGGTAACAGTATAATAATAAAAAAGTGACATCCATCCTAGACGGCAACATTGTATTTGTCTACTCTCCACCATTTGACAGAATTAATCGCGCACCGAGAGAGAGATGGGGGAAGATGAAGATCCACAGAAGTTGAAGAGACTAGGGGCGGCGGCGTATGACTACGACAACGACCCAAAATGGGCGGACTATTGGTCCAACATCCTTATACCTCCCCACATGGGCTCTCGCTCCGACGTCGTCGACCACTTCAAGCGCAAGTTCTACCAGCGCTATATCGTCCGTACCTCACCAATCCCCCCTTATTTTTTCCATTGTCTACTCTTCACACTCTCTCTCTCTCTCTCTACCTATTTATACCTACTGATTTATCTTTGTGTATCTTAAAATATCTGTGTAATCTGTTATTCTTTGTCTTGGAATTTGAATTCTTTTCCAAGTGAATCTCGTATGGGTTTTATCTATTTTTGTCTCATCAGCGATGAATTTTGATTGTGTAGATTACTGGATTTGAATCTCATATTCTTTTTGGTCTGTTTACTTTCCTGTTTATCAACTGATCCGACGGTCCTAACGATTGTGGATTTGGGGCATCATATTATGGTAGATTTTTGGAGCAAAGATTTCTAACATTGGGTTATGCGGAGTTTATGTTTGTTATTAGGAATTTTTCACAATTTAACATCTCTTGGTTCTATTGGTTTCCTAACTTATAAGACACTTAGCAGGAAGAAAAAGAAACCTTAAATTGGAGAGAATCTCATTTGGGTTTTACCATTTTTTTTGTGTAGCTTGGGGTTTCTGTTTTTTACTGTTGGGGGTTTATTTTCTTAGAATCTAAGATGATCGATGAGGGCTTCATTTATTGTTTTGGTCTTTTGATTGGATTTACTACTGTCTGTTTTCTCTGAATAGGGTTTTCATGCGGCACACTTTAGGATTTGTGTGCTAAATTGCCACACCTTGGTGTATTTGGTTCCATCGATTTTTTTTGCATTCACTGTATATTGGTAAAAGAAGAAAATTGCTTTCTGATAATCCAAGACATCCCTTTGTGGGGAACTGAGATTCTGGTCTTTGATCCCATCAATAATAGTATTTGGATTTAAACAGGCTATAGACATGAAAGGAATTTTGGAATTTGGGTTTTTTGCTCTATTTGTGATTTGGTCTAATACATTGTGCAGGATCCTGATCTTGTTGTCGAGCCAATGTCCATAAGCAGTACCTCTCAGCCTGCAAAACCGTCCGCATCGTCATCATCATCAACTTCCAATGGTCAAACGCGTTCACGTAATTCAGGTACTGTGCAAGTTCAACTTCATTTATTTTTTACCAATGCTTTCTGTTGGTTTAATTGAACTCAGCTCAAATTTGCGCGTAGGGTCAACTGCTAGAACATCAGGGACATCTACAAATTCAACTCCAAATCCAACATCTCTGCGTTGGGATAGGCATACCGTACAATTTTCTGTCAATGCTTGGGTACACTGATTAGCTTTATAACTGACGTAGACATTTTTGCGCGCACAAAACATATGAATGATTTTTCCTGATGAACATTATTATGGCATTGATTTAAATATGTTAATTGCAACTGGCTGTGTCCTTGTATTCTACATTGAAAATGGCTTGGTTTTCAATTGGTACAATATGTTAGGGGTATCTTGTAGCCCGTTCATATTGCTCAAAACTTCTTGGTGAAACTCTTCTTATGTTGTTATCTTGGTTCGTTTTGCTAGTTTGTATATGTTCTGCACATAAGCAGGAAATATTTCTGTCAAACACCCATGCATCTATGATATGTTATGTTGCATTGAATAAGACAATGAAGCATTTATAGTTGTGGTATCAAACCTTTTTGAGAAATTGGAATCTTATGTTGTTGTGATGCACTAATTAGGCTTCTTTGTTTCACTTGGAAGTTTGATTGTGACTATTTTGCATGTGGAGTTAATTTGTCTTCAAACCTCTTTTATTGTTATCGTGAGGGTCTATTACTTTATTTTCGTCAAATCATCTTTTTTAGTTGTGAGGATACAAAGCAAGCAATAGTACTAAACTGGTTCTATGTTCTGATTGTATAAGTTTTGCGTTTTTGTAAAATCTGAATGTACATTTTTCTGCAGGTCTTTGTTGTGGCTGTGCTTGCAATTTTTCCACTTCTACCCAGAACTCTTTCGAACAGGGCATATCGGCTTGCCTTCATGGGCACTGCATGTTCTTCTCTGTATTCTTTGTATTCGCTATATGGGGTAAGTTTGTGGATCCAGTTTCTTGATAGTTTCCTGTACTCAGTTTTTAAAAGTTAATTTACAGTGATGATGCTTCCAGTAACTGGTCATTCTTTGCAGAAACCTAGGGCGTGGAATATGCAAGCTGTGCAAGTGTGGTTTCAGTCAGTAATTGCGACCAAGGATTTTCTCCACTTCATTTACTGCCTGAGCTTTGTCACTTCACATCTTTACCTCAAATGTTAGCATCACTTGGCCTCTGTTATATGTTATCTTCCTGCTTATTGTACTTGGATGATCGTTTATTTGACCCAGTGTGCTGGTGTTAAATATTGTTGCAGTTGCTTTAATTCCTATTTTATGCTGTGTCCTTGAACATGTTGCCAAGTTCCTCAGGCGTAATTTCAGTCGCTCCTCCTTGTACAGGTATGGGAGTCATGCCTTTTGATTGGAACATTCAATTAATATGCTTGTAACAATTGTTAAGTGCTACAACTAGTAGCAACTTGCACCTTGAGTTAAATGGAGTTCCTACCAAAGCGGCATTTTAAGGTGCCTGAAGACAGGCCGTTGGTACTCGAGCCTAAAACTTGTCACATGGTGTGTTGGCCCCTGCGACCGGAAGGTGGGGGTAGGGGTAGTGGTAGGGGGATTGTGTAAGAGAAAAATTTGGAGGAAAACTTGTTAAAAGAGTGTGTCTACTTATTAAATATCTTTTATCTTGTTTACAGAAAGTACTTGGAAGAGCCTTCTGTATGGGTGGAATCAAACACTACCACACTCAGCATACTGTCTTCGCAAGCTGAGATTGGACTTGGGTTTCTTCTGATTATCTCATTATTTTCGTCAGTAGCTCAACTAAGTCAATGACTGGTTTTTTCTTCTTTTTCCCCTTATAATCTTATTTCCTATTCTCTCTCTTTTAATTTGCGATATGTGCATGCAGGTGGCAGCGCAACATACTACAGACATTCATGTATTGGCAGGTACACATTATTTCTCCCTTTTATTTTGGGATTGAAGTCTTTTATCTTATGCCACTTTAAAAGAGGGTTTATTCTGCTCTTGTGGGAGTTGGGGATTTTGGATTTTGGGTTGGGGAGGGTTGGTTTGATATCAAAGGTTTAAATTATATAGGCTGGCTGAGCCAGGACCTATGTTTTGCCTCACTCATGCTGAGGCTGCCATGTTGATATCTCTCTCAAAATTGCTTTAAGTCTGTATTGAAAGAATTTGTACAAGCCCAACAACACGGATGTTTGAAATCCTTCTTGGGCTATAGCGCCCTAGGGTGGGGATCGGATTAGTGACCTTGAGGGTATTCCTCAACAACTGCCTTTCACACGCCTGGGAGTGCATCCTTATGAAAGATGGTAGTGGTGTGCATTGTTCATTGTTTAATTCAGATTTTGCATTCTCTCTCTTAGCTGATATAAGTTTTTGAACTCTCTTTGGCAGCTGTTAAAGCTCATGTATCATGCCCCTGCGACTGCTGGTTACCATCAAAGCGTGTGGTCTAAGATTGGGATGACTGTTAATCCACTTATCCATCGTTATGCACCATTCTTGACTACTCCAATTTCCACTATTCAGAGATGGTGGTTCAGATAAAAGCCTGGATAAACTACGGTGTTGTAGGATGATCTGACAGAATCTTCATGGATACTGGAATTATTTCAAGTGTTGTATTTTTGTTTTGTTAAAGAGAGGGATTCAATTACATGACCAAACCATCATATTGGCTAAGATTGGTTGATTAAACTTTGCTAATAACCCAAATTATAAATTTGTATTTTTAAAATTATAATTTAATCTTCAAAATGTTATAATTATTGATATACTAAATATTTGGCACATATAATTTAAATTAATTATATTATTAAAACATTAATTGTAACCAAACCGTGTGCAAAAGATATGACATATTCATATCCAATAGAAAAGGAGAATTAAGAATAATTAATTATTATTGGAGTATGCTATAATATTTGATCTTTGAAAAAGTCTTTTATATTACATTAATTAATATTATTAACTTTGAAAATTATTGGTGTACCGAAGACCATTTCCATATCTAAACTTTTAAGTTTAAAGAACATAAAAGTCAAAATAGAGTTTTTGAAGGTAATTTCCATGTCGAATGTAATTGATGATCACTAATTTGGTGGGAGTGAGTCTTATTTTTAGTCATTTAATTTTTTTTTTCAAATTTGATTGTTCTCATTTTAAAAATATTGAGTAATATATTGAGAGTTTTCGATTTTGATTTGTTGATTTATAATTACTGATTTAAAAATAATGAAATAATATAACATAATAATATATTAAGACTTTGTATGGGTTAAAATTTTATGGGGAGAAGAGTATGGAAAAAGAAAAAAAATTAGTATTGTACCGCAAAATTTTATAGATTTAGATTCAAATTTTTAAATTTGTCGACAACCAAAAAATTGGGATCGATCATAAATTAATCTGAAAATTTTTATAATCTTTTGGGTTATGTTAAACTACTTTTTGGGTTTTTTTTTTTTTAGGGGCGGAACGTGAAAAAGGTGGTCAAGAGCAATTAGATGTAGTAACTTTCAGGATATTATCTTGAGGTTTTATATGTTACAAAATATTCAGTTTAAACCATAGTTATTGACTTAGGATGGTCTAGTCCGAAGGCAAGTTAAAAATTTAACTCCTCTAATAATATCTGGTTTACAAGGCCCAGGTTTGAACCCTCCATTGAAGCCAACCAGACTACACCTGTCGGTAACTTTTAGGGTTCACATTATTATTTTTTTGCTGTCAAGTTACAACATTTTAGGGTACTTGATTGAGATCGGTTCTGAAAATGTTACGATGGATCCTAACATTTGACAATATTTAGAGGCTATGCATTCCGATAGATGTCACTTTCAGTATTGTTTCCAAATTCAAATGGGTGAACCAATTCTTTTATTCAAATGGATGAACCAAATCTTTAAAAAAAATATTTAATGCACCTTTACTCCTAATTTTGTTCGAGGGATAATCTCAAATTGCATTTTAAAATATTGTTCGAATTTTAATTTATACTCTTAAAGATAAAAAATATCAATTTACACTCTTAAAGATAAAAAATTGAATTAACGAGCATCTCAAGCTATTGATTATCCGTTTGTCATCTAAAACTAAATAGATAAATTATATTTACATCCCTCGTACTTGTCAATTAACTCACTTAAATCTCTCGCATTTAAAATATTACATCTACATCCCTTGAGAATTCAAATATGACTAAAAATGTTCCTTCAATTGGACATTCAAATAATTCTGTTTAAGTAATGTATTGCATTAGAATAAAGAACATTATATAAATACCTACATTATATTAGATATTCAAATAATAAGCTTGATTTTAAACTTTAAAATATAATAGGCTTACAAAATAAAGGATAATATGTAATTATAATTTTGAGTGTAATTTATTTAAGTAATAAGTATGAGGGGATCTAAGTGTAATTTATTTAATTAGTTTTAGACAACAAACTGACCACCGTTAGTTTCAGGTATACATTAATACAATTTTTTATCTTTGATGGTGTAAATTAAGATTTTTTTATTTTTGAGAGTATAAATTGATATTTAAATAATTTTTTTAAGGTATAATTTGAAATTAATCCTTTCTTTAAAGCAATTAAAGATCAACCTCAAAAGGATTAATAGAGATTGGGGGAGATGACAATGATAGGAATTGGGAGAGGCGGATGCTTCCATTTGTCAGTAGAGTGCACGGTGCTGTTGCTTGAGCCGTTGAGCGAAGCAAATCGTGCAATGGCATCCAACTACCCACAACATCCTTTGAATATTTTTTTTAATCAATATATTTATTTTTTTTAAGTTATTTAATATTATAGTTAAAAAATTAAATTTTATACACAATAATGATTCAAATTAATTTAATTTTTATTTACTTTGATCTACTGATACAAAACTTATTCTAATTTCTGCGTGGATGGTCTGTTTTTGACTAGATCGGAGAATAAATTAGTCCAAATGTGCGTAAACTGGTTCAGACATTCCTAATCGTTGAACTAAAAAATAATAATAATAACTCCACTAATCTACACATATATTTATTTATTACACAATTAATATTAATTTTTTTGTCCCATAAATTGTTCTGGCACAAGGCTATTAATAGTATATTACCGAGAGTCCTACTTATAAATTATTTTTATTTAATAACAGCAAGTGATTAGACTGTGTTTAACTTTTCTTAGGTTGAAAATGAGAAAGTCAAATGTCTTTACATATCATGTGGGTCAGTATGGGTCGAGACGTTCAAAGATTGATAATGGCTTAAAAATTCCACTAGTGAGAACCTCCTCGATAATTACCCCCAGGTGGGTGGCCAGTGATTTTCCAGCTGATGTGCTTCCTTTTACCAAATATAAAAATAACATGATTGAGACCATGTCGCTATTGCTATATTATTTTCTCTATGCAATTCTCAAAGACTCAATCAATATATTATTTAATATTAAATAATCTTATTAATATATATATATATATATATCTTTTTTTTTTATTCACTCTATTTTAAGATACAAAATATTTTCAAACACGAGATTATTGTTGTATCTCTCTATTTTTCCTAACAGTAGACTATTTGTGGGAAAAAAAGTATTTTTTTAGTTTGATTCCTAAAATGAATTGATACGATGACATGATTTTAAAAGTTTGAGTCATTAAATTGAAATAAGTGAAAGTATAGGGGATATAAGGGTCATTTTAAAATTTACCCTCTTAAGTGAAAGTATGGTTTGGCAGACCGACCGATGCTAGGACAAAGGGCTTCTCGTTTCTTCCCGTATGCACCATTTGGTGGTAGAGCAAACCAAACCTCAGAGACATAAACAGGAAAGCCAACTTTCATCCCATTGCGAAGCATTCTCAATCTTATTCAAAGATCGACGCATCAATATCGTATAGATTCTGTGTGGAGATGGAGATGGAGATGGCCACATCGCCGGCGATTCCTCAGTCCGGTGAATCAGTTGATGATGTGAAGAACATGGAATCGGTTCCTTTGCTTTCTAGGTTTTCAACTGTTCCGGCCACAGCCAACTACCAAATGAAACGGAGAATCGTCACGAAAACGACGTCCGAACCGTCCCCGCCGCGGCGCCAGCAATCGTTCAGTCGTGACATTGGTCACGCCGCCTCTGAGACCTATTTGGTTACTCGTCTTAGCTTCAAGCTTCTCGGATATCTCGGGTATTACTCCTTTACGCTGTGATTCTTAATGTTGTGTTCACGACTGCGTTACGTGTACATGTTTTTTTCTGTGTAATATTGGACTGTAGCAACAGAGGATGCTCCAGTATATTTGCTTATGTCCTATGAAGTTTGTATTTTTTTTGGCAATATCATGTCAGCAGTTGGAACCTGATTCTATGGTATTAAATCATTGTTTGTATCTTTGAGAAATAACGATGAATTGTTTATAGGATCCTGGAAAATGATACTGATGATACCGTTTATGCTTGTGCAAACTTGTTTGTAGCGATCCTGTATGCTCTATTTGATCCTTCAAAGGAAAATGCTTGACGAGCTGTCTTGAAATGTATTTTTTAGAAAAGAAAAAGGGGAATTCTTTTGGGAGATGAAAGAAGGTTTAACAACCATAAAGTGCTAGGGTCTTAGAGGTGATGGTTGGATCAGGTTTGACAGATGGTTTGTGTAATTCAATCATATTAAGCTGGTTGATGGAGAGAATTGCGGCAGCTTATCTTTATATTTGAAGAAAGACAAATGATAAAAGGACTACACAAGGTTATCGATTTGGCAATAGGGATGAGGCTTGTAACCATATAGCAGGTGTGGGAAAGGAGTGGGGAGTTGGGGTGGGAGTTCGGAAGATGATAGTAACACCGATCATTGATGATCTTAAAAACTGATCTGACCTGAAATTGCAAAACCCAAGTTTGTCTTTGAAGTGTACCGATTATAAAAAGTTGTTTAAAATCATTTGATACTAGGCAAGAGTGACCAATCTATGAACCGATGAGGTGAACCTATTAGGAATCAACACGATGAAGCAGCTTTCTGAATTTATTTGGGTCCTAGTCAGATGAAGCAGCTTGTGATCCTACTAAGCATCAGATGACGTGGTTATGTTTTTTGTACTTCTACAAAATAACTGTAGTGTTGATGATTTATCCTTTGGAGAGAATATTGGTATTATTTTACAGTCACAAGCTTTACTTGTAGTGTCCGGATTATGCTGCTTTTGTAAGGGTCATGTGACAAATCCTTGGAATCTATATTTGCGGCTCAACACTGACCAAAATTGGTTAATTACACATGCCTTTAAGATGGTTTTCATTTTATAGGAATGAATTAGAACATTTGCAGATGAGATTTTAAGTGCTAGCTTCCTAATTTGGACATACTGAGTTTAAGTATGAAATGTAAGTGATTTGGATCAGAGGTTAAGCACATGACAACATTTTGTGTAATTTTTTCTCTCTTCCATTTGGATGGGTTTCTGTGCCAAATTTTGCTTGTGTTAGTTCTTTTCTAGGACCATGTTTGGTTGGTACTTTCCTTGGAGAAGTTGAAGAATGAAGAAGTCATCTGTTGTTTGTCCTGATTGTTTTTCCTTACTACAACATTTTATTTAACCTGTATTCTAAAATTTTGTGCTGGGCACTCATCATTGGTTTTCATTCAGGGTAGGCTACCGTTGGATCACAAGACTTCTTGCCCTCGGTTTATATGCCATGTTACTTATGCCTGGCTTTCTCCAAGGTGCTTTTTTTGTGATTGGTCCCATTTTCCTTCATTTTTCTTCTACCCTTTATTTATTTGGTCTCTTTAGTATGATCTAATACACCGTAAATGGTATAGAAGACTGGGGGATACTTTGAAAAGTCTGTAACGAAATTTAGATAACTCTGTGGACAAGCTTCATTGCTTTCTTATTATTTAATCCTTTAAAGGTTTCAATATACAATTGGTTGCCGGTGACCTTTTCAATCCAATCTTATGTTATTACATAGCTCGCCAATAACTTTTTGATCACTATTTGACAATAAAAAGCTTAGAGTGATTCTTCAAGTTTTATCAAACATTCCTTTGCTAGGCTTCATTAATCAGTTCTGGACCATCATTTATGCAATTTTAGGAGGGGAATTAAATTGATCATTGTCCTACCCTCAGGGTGACGAGAAACTGCATGAATGGTGCTTATAGTGAGGATAAGTATGGTTATTTCTTTTTGCCTTATCAGGTTTCCCTCCAAACGGATGCGATGAGGCGTACATGGGATGTACGCCTCGAGCGAGGGTGGTCTACGATTAGTTTAGCAATGATCGATATCAGTGTGTTTGACCATATCTTTGTTGTGATTTGAAACTTCATTACCTGTGTGCCTCGACCTTGTTTATACAAAGGGCTACGATGTTATTTGTCTCAACATATCTATTCAATAGAGATGGCTTTCTATACTATATCTTAGGTTATGCTTCAAAGCTAATTAAAGAAAGACCTGACTGCATATATGTATGGGAATCCCTATGTTTGTCAATTGTCATACTACTTTCTTTTTAGAGAGCCTATACAAGTACCAAATGAGGTGCTACAAATATCATGGAAATCAAGAAGACTATATTTATATTGACTTTCTTGGTTTAGATGGTGGCAAATTTTAATTTCTAATTTGGTGAACATGGGTTGTACCCCGAGAATGGTGGTTTTTATCTCAAAGGCATTGTATGTTACAAATAAGACAAGTATGCGTGCCATTTCTCATTGTAAGTTTTTTGTGGGTCAGCCCAAAGTGGTGGTTTTAAAATGGTCGTTCCACATTTTCATGATCTCACTGGCACCGATGTATTTGAGATCCATTAGCATTTTGTCAACCCAGCTTGACAACATTCTTTTCACTTGTTTATAGCTTCCGCAACCTATCCTCTATCTTGAAGTGACATCTTGAATCCTTGTATCATCCATCCGTTGCTTTCTTTTGCTCTTTGTCTATGTAAATACAACTGAGTTTTCCTTATATTCTCTGTGCAATGGTATCCATGGCTTTAGTCCTGCAAAATGATTGCTTAACACTTAATTGTGCATGTTGAGTTCCTAGTTCTTCTTGTGGGATTTAATTAACATGTCTTTAGATTATTGGAGCATAACTTTATTTTTCAATCTTTTGACAGTTGGATATTACTATTTCTTCTCTAGCCAAGTCCGTCGGAGTATTGTTTATGGAGATCAACCTAGAAATAGGTATGGGATTGTGAAATTCAGGTCACACGTAATTTTTCGGTTCCACAACTTATGTTCTAATCTTAACTGTAATTGCGGGATCATTTTCCAGGTTAGATCTATATTTACCGACAAGTAGAGATGGCCTAAAGCCAGTTGTGGCATTTGTAACCGGTGGAGCCTGGATTATTGGGTAAGTAGACTAGAATGTGGTGTTCCTATTAAGTGCAGTGGTTAGGATAGCTAGGTGAGTATGGTTTTAAATGCCTAAAATGTTTTTTTTTTCTGATACAGAGCAGTGTGTCTCAGGAACAAGGTTGGTTGTTTGAATATCAAACATACTCAACAGAGTTCAATGTGGATATTCCACGTCTGTTTCTATTATTTTACTGAGGGAAAGGGAGTATGTTCAGTGACACAAACTAAAAATAGGTTGTGAAAGCTGGGACAGCCATACTTGAGGGGTGAGGGAGTGACCGAGTGGTAGTGCTCACTCTCGATCACAGGTGGTTACGGGTTCCATGCCAGGTCCCTGTGAAGTGGCAGCAATCTTATTTTTGCTATTAGTGAAATATGTTCCCACTTCCCATATGTCTCAAAAAATAAGTATGGGAGGTGGTTTCTGTTCTGTTAAAAATCAAATTGCACTAAATAGTTCAAGCAAGACACGGGGTGACATATAAATATGTGCAAGGGTAGTACTTGGTCAATTTTGTTTTGCCGGCCATGCTCTGTTTATTTTCCAAACATTTCCTGGTAGAAATTACACGTACATCTGTCTGATTAGTTAGTAGTGAGTTTTCCTCTATACCATTATAACACTGTTGGTTGGTTTACTAATTCTTTAAGTGGATCATCGTCATTATGTTTGTTTGGTGAATGCTTGTTACATGATTTAAAAATGACGCCTTCTTTCATTTTATGACTGAAATAGTTCTATTTCCTTGGGTATGTAGGTACAAAGCATGGGGTTCTCTTCTAGGAAAGCAGTTAGCAGAAAGAGACATTATTGTGGCATGTATCGATTACAGGTAAAATTGGATTTTCTGTATGATTTGACACCATACTGTAGTCCACAGTCCAATATATATGAATATGGGGCAATGTTGATCTGATAATTGTCTGAACACCTTGGCCACTCAACCCAAGGGATCAGTTTACATCGTCAAAGTATTTGTTTTTTCAGTAAAAATTAATAGGTTAAAAAACTTCAAATAAAAAGAACAATGCATGATAGACCTTTGGAGTGTGCGGCAAAATTATATCCTATGTTAAATGATGCCCAGAACAATCAGTCAGGTTGGCATTGACAATGATTAAGGACAGCTGGTTGCATTTTGCCTCACCAGTATAGTTGTCTGACTCAGGTTCTTTGATTTGTTTAGCAGTGCCTTCAGTGGATAGTAGTTTATGCAATTGTCAGGTTTCACATGCATAATACCTGTGTAATGTGCAGAAATTTTCCTCAGGGGACCATCGGCGATATGGTTGAAGATGTTTCTCAAGGCATCTCATTCATATGCAACAACATTGTTGACTATGGAGGTGACCCTAACAGGTAAGAGACTTATTTTTTTGTTTTAAATGCCTATTTATCTTCTGATCATGTCATGGTTGCTTTGTGTAGGATTTATCTTATGGGTCAATCAGCTGGGGCACATATTGCTGCTTGTGCTCTCCTAGAGCAGACAATTAAAGAATCTCGAAGAAAGAGCATTTCCTGGAGTGTTTCCCAGATAAAAGCTTATTTTGGTGTGTCAGGAGGGTAATGATATATTGCAACACTACTAGCTCTGTAGTTAATCATGTTTATAGAGTTACCGTACAAGAAGCAAAGAAATAAGAAGCAACTTCTATCAAGTAAGGGTTTGATAAAAAGGAGGAGGAAAGAAATCCTTCACTGTAAAAGGGAACCAGGATTGCTTCTCTTTTCACTCTTTTGGTCCTGTCAATATAAGCAACATTTACACTCTGGCTATAAGGCCTCAAAGGTGTAAAGGTCTCATATCACAAACCACATTTTTGAAAATTCATGTATAATTATTTTTTTTTCTGGATATTGATTTCATTTCTGCCTACATTTGAAAGCAATTTCCTTGGGCAGGTATAATTTACCAAACTTGGTTGACCACTTTCATGGTCGAGGCTTATATCGCTCCATATTTTTAAGGTTATGACCACTGATATGCAATCACCAATTTGGTTCACTTTCGGCTTTACATATTTGTTGTCCCGCACTGATGTGCTGATATGTTATAATGACAGTATAATGGAAGGGGAACAATCCTTGCATCAATTTTCTCCTGAACTGGTGGTACAAGACCTGAGCATTAGGAATGCTGTATCCATTCTGCCTCGTATTATCCTTTTACATGGAACCTCGGATTATTCCATCCCTTCTGATGCAAGGTTTTATTTCAGATTATAGCCTTCATACTACTTTTTGTTCTGATATGACGGGACATTCCATCCCAAAATCTTGTGTGCTATCCTTTGTTGTCTTTTGTCGTCTTATTTGTCCTTTTATTCATCTGACAAATTTTCCTAACTTCTAATGGACTCTGGGCATTTGCTATTAACAGCAAATCTTTTGTAGATGCTCTCCACAGGGTAGGTGCGCCAGCTGAACTAATCTTGTACAGTGGAAAAACTCATACAGATTTATTTCTTCAAGTGAGTGATGATTTAAATCCTTCTTATTTGTTGTTGTCCTTGTTTATTTGTCATGTCAACATTGCCTTTTATTCTTCTGTTTTTTATCGATCTCTTTTTAACCTTGCTGCAGTGCTCTGTTTAGAGAGCTGTTTTTATTGTAAATGTTTCTTCCTGTTCTTGTTGGGATGGAGTTTGAATGGGAGGAAAAGGGATGGAGTTTGAATGGGAGGAAGACTATTTTTATCCAAAACTTCTTTACTGGTGCTAATTCCACTAAACCAGTAGGAAAAAGAAACATTTATTAATGAATTTTCAGGATTACTTCAAGATTACTGTAGAAGCTTGCATGAATCCCACCTTCCAATCAAATGTCATACGAACAATCTCATGACACCAGTCCACCTCAACTCAGCAAATCCTTCAAGATCTGCTAATTTGTGTTATGCCCTACTTGAGTCCCTCGGGTGGTTAAAACTTTTTCTCGTACATTATAAAATGCTAATTTGGTGTTACATGTTTTACTTCCTCAATTTGAAAATTACATTTCCAGTAGCCATGTGAAACAATTTTGATGACAATGAGACACTATTCTTCCATTTGCTGCCTAATGTGCCCCCCCGCACCGTCCCATCCTCTTCAAATGCAGGATCCTTTGAGAGGCGGTAAAGATGAGCTATTCGACTATCTGGTAGCTTTCATTCATGATGGTGATAAAGAAGCTCTTGCTAAGGCACCTCCGAGGAGCAGGCGGCGGCTTGTTCCCGAAATTTTATTAGTGTTGGCTCGCAGGGTTAGTCCCTTTTAAGCCTTCCGGCTCATTGTAGGCTATTTATTGGCAATTGACAGTTATTAGAGCGCAATGTACGGTTGTGTTCTTTGCTTGTCTTTGGACTTGGCATAGGGGGTTATTGCAGTCTGAGACATACATTCTTGTCTTGTAGAGATATCTTTGTCATTTAATTGCTTGACTAATATTCTTATTCCCATATCAGTGGGGAAAAAATGGTATATTAGTTGGATAGAATAGCACGAGTCAAATTTGAGTCCAATATTAAGTACTTGGACATAAATTTTCAATGTTCGGATTGAGCTTGTACTAAAAATTTTAGTTTGGTTTAAATTCATCAGCATTCAAGTCGAGGTCTCGGATTTTTAGGACCCAATCGAATGTGGTGAATTTGGGTTCAACGCGAAATAAATCCAATCATAGAATTAAACTCAAATTAAATATGAATTTTTAATCCAAAAATTAAACATGTGATTATGGATAGTTGGTTTTTGTGGTAACATATATACAAGTTTAGATCTGTTGAATATATAACGAGATTGAGGACGTTACAGTCTTTATGGTTCCAAAGAGAGTGGGATGTCACTCAGGTACAATGATGCACTTGGGATTATGATGTGCCTTCTCCTAAACCCACCTTCTTCCGTTTTTTCACTTGTATCCTTTCTAACCATTAATCACTTCCATTCTACAGTTTTTTCATATTTATTTTCTAATTAACATATTTTTTTCTGATTTAGTAAACTATCATTGTTTCTATGAATATATAGTTTAAATTCAATTGTTTTAGTGTTAAAGTGTATTTACAAAACACTTTTTTTCAAGATATTTTATTGTTTTGCAATTTTTTTTTTACAGTAAAAAACAAGAATTTAAACCAAGTTTTTTTATAAAAATTAATGATAATTTAAAAAATAAGTTAAAAATTATGACTTAAAAATAATTAAGTTGGAGACTAATGATAATCAACTGGAAAAAAATAACCTTTATTATTGTGGTCCAGCTCATTTTGCATTGCGAATTTTCAAATACATTGTGCATGTCCAACCTTAATGCCCTCAAGATTCTAAAATTAAAAAGATAAGGAGTCAATTGTTGTCAAAAGTAAATTTGATTACTTATGTCCCCCCTGACAGAGGGTGTCCAGCCACCTCAACTTTTTAATAAACTAGCAATGCGTAAAAATTTGTTTTGAAATATTTGACAAAATGCATAAAAAAAATCTAATTATGTAGTTATATTAGATATTATTTTATATTTATTATACTTAAATTGTTTATATTCTCTTTATAACTATAAACATCCAATGATTTATTTTTTGTGATTCTTTTATTCGAGCTACCAAGTAGTAAGATTTATAGATTTTTTTTTATCTTTTTGCCTTTTTTGTTTTTATTTTATGTATTAGTAATTTTTTATCAAATTATTTTGACTGTGAATGAAAAGATAAAATAAATATAGTCGTTTTAAGACATCGAAGATGATAGTGTATCAATTTAATTGTTAACGTATATTAATATTGAGGTTTTGAAAAAAAAAATAATATTATTTTTATATATCATGTTAATCATAACATGACTATCCAAAAATTTTGCAAAAACATTGAGATTTATATGATATATTAGAGATTAGTTTATTATTTAAATAAAAAAACATATAATAGTAATTTATATATTTAAATACAAAAAGACATGCTATCATTTATAGTTTTTTACAAGGGTAAAATTATGGGTGTCAATTTTTGACTTGAACATGAATCCGAAAAAAACACGATTAGTTGACACGAGTAATAAATGAGTTAAATTAAAGTTCGACACGAATAACACGATTAATGAGTACAGTAGATAGAAAATAATTATTTAATGAGTATTATAGATAGAAAATAATAATTTTATAATTTTTTATATTTTTTTAAATAGTAGTATATTAGTTGTTGTCAAATTAAATAATTTTTTATTAACATGAATATTGACACGTACCGAAAGTGATACGACACGAAAATAACACGATCGAAAATGACACGAAATGAAACTGATACGATACGACACGATTGACACCCCTAGGTAAAATAGTATATCAAAAAAATTTTATATTAAAATATTTTTATTAGTAGTATAGATATAAATATAGAAATAGATAGATATATATAATTGCTCCTCATCCAATCGTTGCTGCTTTTCTCATATGTAATCTTAAAGTTTTAATAGCTAATTTTCCTTTGTAATAATGATGTATGAATTGCCTTTTGTTGACTTTGGCCATATTTAGTAAAAATTTTCAAATACTGACTGAATTGCTTTTCTTCAAATTCAAAATTGAAATTTCTCAAATTTTATTAGATATTTTGACAATTTTATAAGATATTAAACTATATAATAAAATATATAAGTACTTAATCACCTCCAAACTCTTACTCCAAATATCTAACAGAAAGATAACCTAAAGTTTTTTTCATTCCATAGTTAAATCTTTTCTCATATGGTTTATTTATCTATATTTTTAAACTGTTAGATGAATTTAAAAATTAAATTTAAAAACTAAACTTGATATTCCCAATCATTGAATAGATAGTGAATCTCAATAAATATTAGAACTACAGTAAAATCAATGGTTGTAATTATTAAATTTAATTTTTAGGACAATGCTATATAATTCAAATTTACATCCTAAATGAAGGGGAATCATTGAATCAGTAGGTCTCATTTAAAAAAGTGATAAGACCCACTTATCCGATAGTCTCACTTTATTTGAGATACAAATTTAAGTTATATAATATTTTTTTAATTTCGCGTGACATTACTCATATTTAAAATAAGATTCATAATCCTAGTTGGAAGTCAACTTCCATAAATTCCCCTAATTAATTACTTTAACGTTTCTTTTTTTTTTTTTTTTGTTTATGTGTATTACGTGAAACTTCCAAAAAATGAGTCCCACACCTGCTCGTTATATTTTTTTAATGATAAAAAATCGACGTCGCACGACAACCTTGTATATTGGCCCCACAAAATCTCGCCAAAGCTGAGCCCTTAACTCCCACCCACTCCAATTCCTATATAGACCACCGACATTAAATCAAAACCTGAACCAAACACAACTTCAAATACTCTCCAACAAGTAACAACAACGCTACCCACAATATAGTATATATATAACACAACACCTTCTCCGTCTTTCTCTCACCCATAGATTTCCGCTTCCCAAATCGCACTCGTCTCTACATTCTCCTTTTTAGGGTTTTATTTTGTCTACGGCGCTTTCGGTTTCGAATAATCAAAAGCTTCTCTTCTCTCCTCTAGAGGTTCGTCGCAGATTTATTTCTATATTTGCATGCATATGTATCTATCTGTATATATTTTTGTAGTTAGGGTTTTCAGACGAAAAGAATTTTAATGCTTGTAGTAAATAATTATTTTCGCTCTTGCATTGTTTTAAGACTCGTTGAATTGACTCGAAACCTAATTGTATAACGAATTAAAAGTCTACGGTCTACCTCTCGGGGTGGGGGGTTGGAGCTGCAATGTGGTTTGTGGTGGTACTTAAATATCTGGAATTGGTAGGGTTCGCCTAGGAATATTGACATGATTTAGGGGCAATGCCTTGCTCAACATCTGTAATTCAAGCATGTGATCGTAATAATAGACTTCAATTAATGATCCGAACATAAAGTGTTCACAACTTAATTTTGTTCATACAATGTACGTTGTGTGTGTGTGTGTGTGTATTTGTTTGCTTGAGTTCTTGTACATATAGCATTGCTATTATGTTAAAATATTTATCGTGATTAAAATATTTACTCAATCTGAAAATATTTACTATGGTTAACGAATTTACTGTGGCCTGGACGCACTGTTTTATTAATATAGATGTGAAGATGATCATCTACTTATGACTTTTGTTCTTCCCTAAAGTTCTCAAAGACTCAATTACTGCTTATCAAGTGATTCTGATTGATGTATATAGAAAAATAAAAGACACTAATACAGATTCTGGAAGTTGATAGTTGGTTTTATTCATTACCCATGTCTCTGCTCTTGACATTTCTTGATGCGGTAATGGTTAACCATATGCGAAGGTTATTTTGACAAGTTAATGGCATTGTTCTAGGTGCTAACCAAGTAACCACAGTTAATTAAAGAATTAATGGTGGATCTTCAGATTTTTTGCTGAAGAATTAGAGTATGGATAAGAATGACGAGCTTTACTTATGGTCTTAGCACATAATGATGCCCCAGGGCAAAATATGTGATTGATAACTCTGGTATTGCACAACTACCCGTTGTGTTGTCTCGTGTTTTTGCTGTGAAAAGTTTGATGACCTTGTTTGCAGACATAGGAATTTTTGCATGAGGCATGTTACATTGTATTTTCGTACTCTTGATATTGTTGCTTCTGTTGTGGTTTAAGCGTGTTGTTTGGATAAGTTAACTCGTTGAGATCACGAGCAATCCTTTCCTAAATTATGTTAATTCAATCTCTCTTAACTCTCAATTTCTACAGGATGAATAAGCCCTTGTAAACTGCTAGATGGATGAAAACCCATATTACACATTGGGTCAGTTATCCAGCCAGATGCCAAATAAGTCTACGAATATTTCAATTTTGTCCGAGCTGCACGAGGTTGTTTTACAGTCTGACTCCACATGGAAAAAGGAAGATCCTCAAAGGGACTTGTATAAGGATCCCAAAAGCACTCATGATAATGGATATATCAAAAACAACATGTAAGTTTAACAATTCTAATCAACTCATGTTGCTAAAGTTGTTTTTAGTGTCAAATCTGTAAGGCAATGTATATTGTTTATTCTACTATAAGTATAAAGTTCAAACTCTTTTGCAGTGCCCAAAATTTTATTCAGAAAAGAAACCCTCAGTGGGAATGGTGGACATCTAACGATGTAACTGACTTGAAAAGGCAACTATCCATGGATGCTAATTCAAAGGTATGTTCATTAAGGCTATAATCATAAAATTAAGTAGCACGAGTTCCTTATATTGTGCACTGGTTTACCTGTGCAAGTGATAGTTATTTGTTTTAGGTTGCCATTCAAAGTCTAGTAAATGTTTTATATTATGTAAAATCATGCAAGTTAAGATCATCTTTTAGTTTTACATTTTGTTGTTCTAATTGTTAGCTCATATCATTATAGAAGAGCAGTAGAGCCATTATCTTACTTATGCTTCCATCTTCAACCGATGACCAAAAGTAAAAACAAAATCTTGTGTTTGAGATTGTGGAATAATTGATTGTACTTATTGTTGGGACTTTAAGGAATATACTTCACTTCCTTGAGTCCTTATTTTTTCAAATGCTTTTAGGAGTACATGAACCAGGAGATGGTACCAGGTCATGTGCATAACCTAATCCAGCGTGAGAAATGTGACACTAATTTCCATCAACAAGTAGACCACTGTCTTGCTTCCTCATTTTTGCCCACATATATGGGAATGCCGTCCTCAGGCATGTCACCTGGTTTTTGGGGCTCAAATTCTCAATACCCTCTGGTTGATTGTTTCATGGCTGCCAACACCCAATATAACACTCCTACAACCAAGAACTTGAATGAGTCTAGCTATTTTGGAGGTAGCTCAGTTGGCTCTTGCATTGGTAAGTTGGCTGAATAATTCTTGTGTTGGTGAATTGGGTTGTTCTACAATTTTATCTCATAGTTTAATTACTATTTGACTGCAGGATCTTCATGTAATGGATATAACGAGGGTGTTGTTGCTTGTGATGGGAATATCATATTTTCAACAGCTAGTATAAATCAGGTTGCTGGGGAGGCGGTTCTTTCTCCAGACGAGATCTCATCCGCCACAGTATGTTCTAATAGGGATGGCAGACCAACTGGCAGTAACTTACAACATATCTCTGAGTCATCTTCAGAAAAATTTATTCAACCGCCTCACTATGATGAGGGTATGCATTTACCATGAGAAACTACTTCAAAATTTTTAAGTCATTTATTTAGGCCTAGCATTCTCATTTAATGTATTTACCCAAATTTTTCTGTCTATTTTTTGAGATTGGTGAGATCACGGCAAATGTTTTGAACTGTTGCTGAGCTGACCAAACAATCTTCTTCTTCATCTAGCATGTGGTCTTGCTGAAAATCACTTTTTCCCCTTCTCTGTCTCTGAATGATTCTTCTTTATTACCATTTAGAGTTTTTATGTTAGTCTGATGAATCCCTGGATGCTGAATAATTTTCTGTAATTTTATTACCTAGTCAAAAAGGATTACTGATGCTGAACATCTCCTGATTAATTAATCACTGTTTTGAATTTTCTTTTTAAGCTGTGATACGGTGGCTAGTTTTACCTGTGTAGAATCTGTCAGAAGCATAATTTTATTAGAATTTGGTTGATTTCCATTGATTCAATGGACTAGGTTAAAAGTGGGATTTGTGGCACCTGTACCTTGCAAATGGTGCCACCAATTCCTAATGGTCATAGATGGGATGGATAACCCATTCTCCACGTCTCCTATTCCTCTCTCTCCCTAATATTCTTCTATTCTTTACCCCTTAATATCTTTCTCACAGCTCTTCTGCCCCTTCAATGATTTTCTTGGACAGGTGAATTTAATTTGATAAAATATGGAGGTTTTCTGGAGAGCAACCAGAATGTTTATAATGTGGATGTTCCATCCTCAATGGGAGGAAATGCAGAGTTGTCTTCCTCAAATATGAGGATCCCACAACAGAATCCACAGAGGATTCCTGAAACATCTGATATTCTGCCACGTCTAATCTTCAATACATCCATGCCAACTCGTGAAGGTTTATTGGAATCTGAGCTTCAGGTGCTTCAACAGTTCCAGAAGCAGCTACATGTACCTAGTGTGCAGTTGGATGAGCCATCTGAGGTCCAATCAAATTTATATTCATTTGAAGAAGAATTTGTTAATCAAGTACCACACAAGGCATCTAAGCTGGCCCAGCTCCCTCCAGAACAATCACATAAGGTCCAAAGTGTTGCTTCAGAAAGTTCTGCTGTGTTTCTTCGTGGTCCTACTGGTGCTGTCAAACTTGCCAATTATAGTGGTCTCTCTTGGCATAGATCAGGAACTGGCGAAGCAAAAAATGACTTCTCAAGGGCAATCTATGATATAGATTCTGATGGCACCAGGTCTTATGCCATTGAAGATTTGAATCGTTCAAAACGTCTAAAGATGGGGAATTTCTTTTCATTTCACAATGGAGTTTCTCAGGCGGTTGCTCCTTCCATCATTCAACATTGTGCCTCTGAACAACTTCCAGATTTGGTGCAGTGGTCTGAAGCTCCAGTTCTTCATGACGTAGAAGCACTGGAGGTGAACAAGGGAATGTTAAGCCCCATAAAGGACTGCACAAGCATTTCTGTAAGAAGGAACGATGTCATTGATAATGCTCGGAGATTGGATGTCAACAATGCGACTTTTATTTCTGGAGAGGTCATCAATGCCCGTAAACAGGGGGGGAGAGAATGTACAAGGATAGGTGAGATAAGAATTGATGACGCTGATAATTCTCAAGGACTGAACTCTGACAGTGGACCTCTTCACTCTGAAGGGTCCTCTATTGGTCATCAAGAGGAGGAGATACAAGTCAGGCCCAAGTCTGAGCAGGTTAAATCAGAAGTTCAAGGTATTTTAGTTGCACCTGCAGCAGATTATGAATTAGTAACGGAGTCAGAGGAGTCAAAGATACTCGGTGTCTCTTTGGCCGAGTTTTTCACTGCAGAGCAATTGAAAGAACATATATCCAGTTTCAGTCAATCAATCGATCAGGTTAGTTCGTCTAGTTTCTACATTTCCTTCTTATTTCATAAGCATCCGTAGCGGTGTATCTAGCACCAAGACCCTATTATATTCAGCAGTTATCTATTATTGTATTTAAGGTTTTATATTAACAACTCAACTTAATTAACCCCCTAAAGTTCATTAATATCCATTTTTTGACATTCATTTCTTTTATTGAAAAGCTTGATTTACTTCTTACTCTCTTAAATATGTTCTTGCAAGTAATTGATCATTAATTTTCCAATGCATCTTCTTGTGATATAGAGTGGTATGAAGGAAGTTAAAGATAGGATGGCAAGTTCTGTTCGTGAAAACATATGCCAGTTGTGTGGCACAGACAAACTTTTATTTGCCCCAGAACCCCTGTATTGCTCATCTTGTGGTGTTCGGATCAAGCGTAATATGATTTATTATACGGCGATGGATGAAACGGGTACACAACATTGGTGCTGCGCGTCATGCTTCAGGGTTTGTCGTGGTAGTAATATCTCATTTCATGGGGTTTCTATTTCAAAGGCGAAGCTGCAGAAGGAAAGGAATAGTGAGGAAAATGAAGAACCGGTAAGCTAAGTCATTTTTTGCCTTCGGCTATATCAACTTTAGGAGATGATTAGGAACTTCAATCCTTGAGTTTTGGGTTCTTGCAGTGGGTTCAATGTGATAAATGTAAACTCTGGCAACATCAGATATGTGGTCTTTTCAATGCTGAAAGAGATTTGGAAGGAACAGCAGAGTACATTTGCCCCTGCTGCTGCTTAGAAGAAATTGAAAATGAAAAGCGTGTGCCCTTATTGAAGGCTGCTACTTTTGGGGCAAAAGATCTCCCAAGTACTATGCTCAGTGATCACATAGAGAAAAGACTCTATAGGCGTCTCAAGCAAGAGCGGGAAGAGAGGGCAAGAGTTTCTGGAAAAAAGGTGGATGAGGTAAATTGCAAACACTGGTTGAAGATGCCTTGTTTATAGATATGTTTCAATGTTTTGATGCATGAGATGAATTAATAGGCCTAATCCACTCAAGTTGAAATCTCTCGTTTGGACTTAAATTTAAGCTTTTTGTGGGGCCTATTTTTTTATGGATTTAGATTTTTTGTTTGGGCTATTATTACACACCTAAAAATTATGGAGCCCTTCCTTAAAGTGAGACCTAAAGCCTAGGCTTTATTGGCCTAGTGGTTGAGCCAGCCGGCCCTGGCTGAACTCTAACCCTAATATTGCCATCAATAGTTCCAGTAAACAAAAAACTGTAAATATGCTAATCTAGTGTATATCGGCATGAGATTGTTTCAGATATAAAATGCAGGACCAAAAATGAACTATGTATTGCTGGAAAAATATGACACTGTCATTCCAAAATATTTTATGCCTATGAGTCATCGGTATAAGTGTGAAATGTTATAGTGGATGCAATACAACTGAATATTTGTATGCGATGCATGCTTACATGTTAACATAGTACAAGAGCTCCAAGAGTTTCTTTGTAGAATCGGTGCACTTTTCATTACATTTACATGATTCATTCGATTTTGCATAGTTGCTTTGATTTTCTCCTTTTTTCTCCCCTAAAACCTGAGTAGGTCATGCTCAACAAGAGATTGCATGTATATTTTATGCTACTACATTCCCCTACAGCTGCCTGCTTGATTGTTGATGTTCTATGCTCCACCCATGAGTAGGTACCTGAAGCAGCTGATCTTGTTGTCCGAGTGGTACTATCAGTAGAGAAACAAATAAAAGTGAAGCAGCAATTTTTGGATATGTTTCATGGTGAGAGTTATCCTGCAGAATTCCCATTCAAATCAAAGGTGAAACACGATGTTTCTTATAACGCCTATGGGTACTTGAGAAATATATTGAATTGATTTTTTCAATGAATAGATCCAATTGCAACTTCAACTATGGAATTCAAATGGATCAAATAGGAAAGGACACTGTGAACTGTTGTACTGTTAGAAAATTTATGATCAACCAACATCTATCGATCTTGTAAAAGAGTAAGAAGAAATGATAGTCCTCTTTTTTTCACTTGAACTGAGAGACCCATTAATCGGGATCCTAATGCATATCAATTATAAATGTGGTTTCATGGGAACAAGAATTTCTAGCTACAGTTAGAACATTTTCAACTAGTGTTGATTATGTATTAATTGATATTAGATTGATTGGTTCGAGGCTATTAAAAAAATGGTTTGAGGCTATTCGAAAAAAGATTTATCTAAGCCCCTTTGTTTCTTTTAGTCCAAGACATCCTTTTTCCTTTGTGAGTTTCGAGATTATCACCATTCACAGCTCCAAGATCTATGTCTGACTTGAGATCAACTTTGCAATCAATTGATAAAACATTCATTTGAACAGAATTGAATCCCTTCTTGTTAGACTCTCATGATAATTCCCAAAAACCAAAATTCTTGATTTTTGGAGGAACAGTATTGCCACTTTTGTCCTATCAGTTAGCAAAGTAGATGATTGACTCATTCCATGAAGTTCAATGAACCCATTTATGGATTCTATTTCTCAGTTACATTCCAATGACCATGAGAACTGGCAAAATCTCATGAAACCCATTTCATAGAAGCTCTTTGATATCTTTTTTTGATAAAGCATATCGACATCGATTCTTGAATAATCCACGCTACTTCTGCCTCTACTGTAGCAAAAGATTCCCTTTATCTGTGGCAAAAGTCGGTATCAATAATTATAGTTTGATGCATGGACAACTCCTCAATATCTTGTGATAAGACAGCATCAGTTGCCCTGCAGACCCCAACATAATTATGTTATCCCTCAAGGCTTTTAATTGACTTAATCCAACTCTGCTCATTTGTCTTCTGTTGATTTTAATGATTGGTCTGGTCATACACTGTTATATGCTAGTCGATGAACTGTTGTGATAGTGAATGTTTCCGTTTGTTATTTATTTATTTTGCAAGGATTTCTGACATATGCTTTTTCAAATCAGGTGATTCTTTTGTTCCAGAAAATTGAAGGTGTAGATGTATGCATTCTTGGAATGTACGTCCAGGAATATGGATCAGAATGTGACTACCCTAATCGACGTTGTGTGTATATCTCGTATCTTGATTCTGTCAAGTACTTTAAACCCGAGATAGAAACTGTGACTGGTGAAGCTCTTCGTACCTTCGTTTACCATGAAATATTGGTAATGGCATTTTATCCTAAATATTTGTTTTCATCTTATAATTCTGTGAGCAATTCGAGGTTTTACTCAAGCATGCAATTTACAAGATGGCTGCTTTCTTTTCCTTTTTGGTGTTCATCAGATCGCTTATCTTGACTATTGCAAGAAACGTGGTTTTGCAACCTGCTATATATGGGCCTGCCCACCAATAAAAGGGGAAGACTATATTTTGTATTGCCATCCAGAGACTCAGAAAACACCAAAGTCGGATAAGCTGCGGCTGTGGTATCTCTCTCTTTTCTCTGTATAGGACCTCATGTGCACACACATTCACATATGTATGCATGCTTATAGGGTTGAGATATGGCAATACAGTGGTAGTTTTCATGCCGTTGTTGGAATATTTTACTTGTATCCTCATCACCCTTTTGCACAAGGTAGCTTTTGCCTTATCTTGATATTACTCACCATAATAGCCTGAACAGAGTCACTTACACATGATGAGTTGGGCGCTTTATTGCTCAAAGTCCAACATTTGCAGGATTAGCTGTGTGTGTGCATGTCTTGATTAGACAATGATGTGTGTGCAGGTATAAGTCAATGCTGAGAAAAGCCACCAAAGATAATGTTGTTGTGGATTACACTAACTTTTATGATCACTTCTTTATTCCCACTGGAGACTTGAACACCAAGATAACTGCAGCTCGACTGCCATATTTTGATGGTGGCTATTGGTCAGGCGCCGCTGAGGATATGATAGGAGATATGGAACAAGAAAGTGGAGGAGGATTGCAGGGGAAGGTGAAAAGACAACTAACAAAGAGAACTTTACAATCTATGGGGCATAATGATTCTTCTGATGATCCGGCAAAAGATATATTAGTGATGCAGAAGGTGAACTTTTGCTGAAGTTATTTTCTTAATATTTCCTAATGTCATTGATTTTCCTAGATGGGTGACACTTTTTGTTGGGAAAAAAAAATTCAATTATGCACACCTGAATTTTTAGTCCCCTAATTCTGACTGCAATGATGACCTAAATTGGTCGATTGAGTGGCTCAAAGTTGCCAACTAGCCCTAGGACTCCTGAGTTGCCCATGCAGCGGCAGGGGGATGCCAGAAACTTTAGACTCAGCTAAAAACGAGATTGGCAGGACCTTAGGCATGCATACCTCCATTGTTTGCTAGTATAAGCTAAAAGCTAGCTCCCCAAATGGCCAAAACAATCCAGTTGAAATCTTCAAAAACCCACCCCACCGGCAGAGCATGAAGAAAGAAAAAAGGGCTTCATGGAGGTGATGCCATCGACAGAAAATTTCTTACAGAAATGGAGTTTTTGTCCTTACCAAGTAGGAAAGAATTTCCCTGCTGAAGAAGCTAGACCAGTCTTGAATCTTATAAGATTTAACCATGAGCCTGTTTTCATTCCACATGTATGTTAGTTTAGAAGGGAATTAGGGATGACATTTATTAGATTCTGCTCTCCCATTAGTTTTTGGCTTCTTCTTAACTTGCTAAACAATACTTTTTCTGGTCATTTCTTTGATGATTGATGCTGCAATTTGCTGTGAAAAGCCCTGAATATTTATCAATCAACATGCTTATTTACGTGGGTGTATATATATGTACAGATGTACAGGATCGCGACTATAAAAACGGAATGCACATGCTACATACCTATTTGTATGCTATGTCCTTTTATTAGGTTTAGTTTTTATTGCAGCTGCCACCACCTTATGACAATTGTTTGTGTATTCTGATTTGATTTCTCTCCCTTGTTAGCTTGGGCAAATCATCTTACCCGTGAAGGAAAACTTTATCATTGTCCACTTGCAATATACTTGCGCACACTGTCATGAAGTCATATTATCTGGAAGCAGATGGTTTTGCAACCATTGCAAAGATTTTCAGCTATGTGCAAGGTAATTATCTTTTTTTGATCCTGCTTTCTTCTCTTCTCTGTTCTTTCCTCTTTCGGTCTTCTTTCTTTTTGGCCTTCGTCTATAGCATTAGTTGTATCCATTGAAGTTGTACTTGTAGCTTGTAATGAGTGATTCTTTCGATAACATCGCAAGTAGCATCCTCTTGTGACTTGTGAGTAGTAGATATACACACTGCTGGAGCATAATAAAAATCAAATTTTGATTCAATTGATGTTTCTATACTTTTACAATTCACATTTCCATTTCAAAGCAGTATTTTTCGGTCAAGTGGAAATCAGTTAGATATGTGATTTCTTAAGCAGCAGGAATGTAGACATTATTCCAGAGTATTTGATGTGGCCGTTCTAAAATGCATGATGTACAAATGTATGCAAACCACATGACACATTCTAATAAAAACGAGGTTCTATATAATGAACAGATATATACCAATATTTAGTTGTTGGAATTACTTGACAGAGTACCTTGGCAGTTATGTGTTTCTGACAAGTCTCCAGCACCGGAAGAAATGTAACAGCTTTGTAGATGGCTCTTGGCGTACAAGAACTTATAGGGAAATGTATGTGTATGCCAATCATCATGTGGTAAACCCTCTGTGAATGGACAAAGAAAATATAGGTTTAAAAAATTTGCAAAATGATGCCAAACCTGCTTCTATGAACTGCAGAAGTTTCAGTTTGAGGTGAAATGAAATGCAAGTGTATTAACTTTGTGCAGGAAGATAGCATTAAGAGAAATTAAGGAATTCTTTGGTTTATACCAGATGTGGCATATGCTTTCTTTTATGGAGTGATTGCCCAGCAAATTGATATCAGAAGTTTAACTTCTCAATTTTCACTCATTGAGTTATAGAATTTTGAGATGATAATCTCTATCTAAAATAAGGATATGCTTAGTCAACAGAAACCGAGAAATTATGGGTTGAGGTTTATGCAGAAGTTGTAATTCTTTAGTGATCCAACTAGTATTTGGGATTATAACAATGATGATACTTAAGTAACAATATTGTTTTTGAGGTAGACCAATAGTAAGAATGGATCTTCGTAATGTTTTATCAGTCTAGATCTTTGACTAATTCTTGCAAAGCTTACTTTGTGTCAGAAAATGTCACTTTTCTGAAGACCTGTGCTGGAAATTAATGGACTTAACTCTATGGAAAGCAGCTCTGAAGAAGTTTTAGAGTCCTTATTATTGTTCACTATTATTCACTCTTTCATTTATGCTACCAGATGTATAGATGCGGAGCAAAATCTCTGTGGAAGGAAAGTACATACTACCAATGGTGGAGAAAAACATCATCTCTCTCAGGTGAATCCAAAACTTCTAAAGACCTAGTGACTACCTGCCTTTTTTTTGTGAAGCTAATCCAAAGTGTCTGCATCTTCTAGTTTATGGAGCGTATTCAACACAAAATAACGAGGTCTCTTTATTTTTTAGGTTGTTGAGAATGGTGTGCCCTTTGATACTGAAGATAAAGATATCAATTTAGATAATGGTATTCTTGAGAATAGACATACTTTGTTGAGTTTCTGTGAGCGAAACCATTTTCAGTTTGACACACTTCGCCGCGCCAAGCATTCCTCAATGATGATCTTGTATCATCTCCACAAGCTGACTGCAGTAACGACGGGAACCACTTGCAGCATTTGCTATAAGGATGTCCTGTTAAATCACGGCTGGCATTGTGAGATCTGTCCAGAGTTTGAAGTGTGTGCTGCATGCTATCAAAGAAAAGGTGGTTCTTGTCATAATCATAATTTGACTCAGCGATCATCCATAGCTAAGAGACGGGCGATAAATAAACAAGCTCAGCAGCAGAAAGCTTTGTGGGTATGAAGAAACTCTTTATTTTGAACTTTTCAAGCTGGAGTTTAATTGTAGAATTTAGGGCCCACATGTCCAAATCTTGATTCTCATTGCATGTCCAGAATCTATAACTATACTTAGATACAGTCAGCACCAGTGTCTGTCTGTCCAACTGTTACCCCAAAACAGTTAAACAGATCACCTAGAGAGAATTGTATATTAAAAGTTTCAAAATACTCGGGAAAAATGCTTCATATCTGGACTTAAACACAAGATGTATCTTTTGACGACCTTTATTGATGCCTCCAGCCAAGCTCTACAAGCTGCAACCTGGAGCAGCTCTTTAGCCAATTGCTGATCACTTCCTTTCATGGGTTGCTATTTTGTGGCTATTATGTGTTTAACAACAAAATAATTTGGTGGTGCAGGTACAGGAAGCACTGGATGTTTTAATGCATGCCTCTAAATGTCACACGACTAGAAGTAACCCCTGTTTAAATGATAAATGCCGTCAAATTCGAAAGATTTTCCACCATGCAAAGCAATGTAAACTTCGGGCTTCTGGGGGTTGTAAAGTATGTCATAGAACCTGGTTGCTGCTGCATTGGCACTCACGAAGTTGTAGAGATTCAGATTGCAGAGTGCCACGCTGCATGTGAGTTAATAGCATACTCTGAGCTCTTGCTTCTTTTACTTGCTTCCGCTAGGAAATTGTTCTAACATGATCTCCTAATATGTGCGACACATTTTGAATTTGCAGGGATATTAAGAAGCGTGCAGAAATACTTGCATTGCAGTCTAAAACTCAGTGAAAGGCTGCAGCTGCAGAGTTAGCAAGTGCCTGAGGTTGCTTAGGAGCTGTTGATTATCCCAAGTGTACAGTTGTAGCTGGATCGTCGACTGCAGCAACCGCTTATACATTGGACACAGCCACAATTTTGTTCATACTTTTAAGTGGCAAACCTTCATCAAAATTAACAACAATTTTATTAAAATAAATTTGATATCAAAATAAAATTGATATTAATGGGAAGGAAAGCGATGTTTCTGTGTATATAGAAAGAAAAGCACAACAGGATTTAGCTTATAGCTTACAATCAACTTGGTATATTTAGGATCTGAACTGATTCAAAGCACAATTCATTGTTTATAGTGGCTTTTTTTTGGGGGGGGGGGGAAGAAAGAATTGTATAAATGATCAATTTGGTCTTGAATCATACACTTTGCTGATACATTTGGATATGTATATAGTAATGCCGTTTGTTTTTAATATTTTTATTTTATTTGATTGTATACATTACAATTTCATTGTTAGTCTTGGAGTTCATGTTTACTGGTGGGTTTTGGATTTGTAATTTTCAGGAAATTTATTTCAACAAGAGACAGTGATGAAACTGTACAGGAAGATACTTAATAAATCATTCTGCTACAATAACTTTCTGGTGCTTGCTTCTATTTTGTTCAGGCCACAACTGGACTAAAGTTATGGTTCAGATGTGGCTTCTTGGAGCAAGAAGCCAATAAATCACTTTAATTTTTTTGTTGGTTATGTTCCTTTATTTATTTGTTGTCTCCCCCACTTCTACAATAGGCAACTCCTACCAACATAACCACCGCCTCTTTCTTCCACTGCAGTCACCTCCATTGCCTCTGCTTCCATAACTATTGCCTCTACCCTAGTTGCATTGCCTCTACCCACGTGCAATGGGAAATGCACGTGGAAAAAGTGAGATTCAAGTCCCTTTTAGAAGAAGGTGAATCCCAATCTCTCCCATTTTGAGAAGGTGGGATGTGACATTGGGTTCTACTTTATCCTCATGTCATCATCCATTACGACAACTGGATATCTGTCCATGAAATAATTACTTAGGATTTGAAGAGGAAAGAAGATAAATGAAGAGAATTAGGAGTAATATTAATTTGTTTGAGAGTGTATAAAGGGTGAGAAAATGAGAGAGAGAGGTTTGAGGACCCTTAGCCCTATTAGATGTTTAATAATCAATCGTACATTATTTTATACATCAATTTCATACCTTCCAAAAAATATGTTCAATTTAAATCTAATTTTCAATTTTTTAAAGTTATCGTTCATAATCTATGAAAAATATTCATTTACCTTTGAATTACAGTGACATTCTCTGTTATAGTAAGATAATGTTAAAATGTCATAATCGAAATCCAAACAATGTGATTAATTTTGTCATACATCAGTACCAACAAGATTGTGGAATGAAGAACTACCTCTTCTTATACAGAGGGGAGAGGCAGGATATAGAACAGCATTAAAGTGGGCCCTTCTGGACCAAGCATATAAAAGGACATAACATTGTAGAGGACAACATTTCCATTGTGACAGGGAGAGAGAGAAAGGGAGAGAGAGTTATGCCTTTTAGTCTCACACTCAAGAAAGAAGAAAGAAGAAAGAAGAAGTGTTAAGGGTAAACCATGGCAGCAGAAACCTCAGGATCTGTTGATTCATATATCGGAAGCCTTGTAAGCTTGATTTCTAACTCCGAGATTCGGTACGAAGGCGTTATTGCCACCATCAACACTATGGAAGGAAGCATCGGATTAACAAATGGTATTAACAATCTTTCTCTTTATCTTTTCAAGAATAAAAAATGTTTGTTTGGGTTTTCTTGTACTTTTCATTTTCTTTCTAGTTCGTTTTGGTCTGCATGCATTTATGCAAGGTTCAGATTTCTGGGTATCGTCGTCCTGTTAATTTGAAATGGGGTTTCTTGTGGGTTGTCATGGCATGTTGATTGAAATGTGTTGTGTCATGCACGCGCAAATAATCTGCATTATCAAACATGGTGGTTCTCTCTCTCTCTCTCTCTCTCTACATATTTATATATATATATGTGTATGTGTATATATATGCATATATGTTCTGTATATATCTGACTGTATGGTTAAACAAATATATAATTTGCATTATCAGTCGTGAATTGTCAGAAGACCCTAGACATAATTGAAGGACATTGGGATCAGCAATAAATTGAATCAAGATTTTCATATCCATTCCAAGAAGGCATAGAAGAGTAAGGTGTTCAAGTTATGGTACCATATACTAATCGGAAGGCACTATAAGTACTAGGGAGATTCACATTGGATGGATACCAAATGGAACCCTCTTTTGCTGTGGTTCTTGATATTAATTGTTTCTCTCTTTGTTACAGAGAAAAACTACTGTCGAAAGGTAAAATCATTGACATCATTTGCTTCTTGCATTAGTAGTAGTTTGGGTGGGAGGTGGAGTTTTGAAGGACACCCTGAGCCGCTTACCACTTTGAGGATTGATAGTCTACCAGATCGAGTTGGTAAAATATAAGCAAAATAGAGTAGTAGTAGATGGCTATCTCTCGCAAATCTTAGAACAGCACTCCCCTCGTCGCATTGCTGTGAACTAAATATTCGCATGAAAAAAGGCCTGTGAACTATGCATGACTTGGTTTTTCTTGGCATGAGTGACATGTGTGTGACAAAAGGAAAAGCATCAGAGGTAGTGAATGAAAAATTGGACACTTTGAAAGGTGGTTAAGAGAAAGAGAAAAGAGGGAGAGAACATGTGGTCAGGGATGCATGAGAAGCATTGGGGGCGTGCATCTCAGGGAACATGCATTGCCCCTTTCATCTTTCTGTTGATTGTAATGTTCTTTACCTCTCTCTTTGTGACAACATTTAGAAATGAATGGGGAAATTCAGTGTTTGTTGGCATTAGATATTTAAACGTTTTGGTCCTTGGCCTTGTATGAGCCTTTTAACTTGTGTACTAGCTTTTTTCTAACGACTAAAATTATTAGTAGAAAACAACAAAGGGGATGCAGGACCAAAGGAGCCAACAAAAATATCACAAACTAGCTCACAAAAGCATCTCATTGAGCCAAAACTGAAGAAGATTCAGGATTAAAACCTTCACCTTAAATGAACCTCAACCACCTCAAAGTTACTCTGGTTCCTCTATATAATTGTCCACTTTTTAAAGCAAAGATGCTGTGTCCCATCTCATTCAAAGCCAAGTCGTCACCCTGCTACATCTCTGCCTGCCAAATTCCAACCATAGCCTGAACCGGACAGGCATGAACACTGTCGCCCCAAAATTCTAGGTCATTTAGAGGTTGATTTTTCTGGCTTTGATTGGCCCTTTACTTACGTCGTAATTTTCTAAATATTGGTCCATTGGGTGTTGCACAAAACAATTTTAAAAAGTGCCATAACCTTAGAGATGCCAAAAAGTCTGTAAACAAGTTCCTTTTCCAGTACTAAAGCTTTCCTATATGAGCTTGAGGGGATAACTGATTAGACAACACCCAGGAATAGAAATATTAGCTGACTCCGCAGGTGAAAGAGGAGAGAGGATCAATGGGAGTCCCCGGTGACCAACCATGATCCCTGAATGCATTAGAAACTTTATTTAGATGCTTCCAACAAAGTGAAAAAAGACTCCTTTGTGCAGCTTGCAGATCCAGAACCTTTTTATCGAAAAATATTCTCACACTCTCTCTGTCTCTCGTGCACACGCGCATATGCGTATACAGAGACACATTTGGATGGCATGCTTGGTTGCTTCTAAACTCGACTCCTTGTCCTCACACTTGACAAATCATCCTTTTAAGATTGAACCTTGCAATGACCCCCCTCGTCACTGCTGTGCTTTTGTAGTATATTTAGTTTTCCTTTTTTGACTTTTTTTTTTGTGTGCACGCACGTTGCGGTGGGGGATGGAGAATGATGGGATGATCAACTACGGAATCTTACGATTGAAACCATCAACTCTTCTGTGATAAACCGTATATTACTTACCACAACAACATGCTTATTGCGGATGTTGCATGCAACTTATCATATTTTCCACAGGGATATTATGCAGTTATTATCATCACTTTTGTTGTTTGGTTAGCAAGTCTTGCTACCATCATCTTATTTATAATATTGAGTAGTGAAATTTTAGTTGTTACTTTTCCATGTTTCACCCACGATCTATCAAGGAGACATGAAGGAAATTTATGTGCTTATTTCTATACTGTGTGTTGGCAGTTAGATCATTTGGAACAGAGGGGCGTAAAAACGATGGCCCACAAGTGCCTCCAAGTGACAAAGCATATGAGTACATTTTGTTCCGTGCAAGTGACGTAAGGGTATGCCAATATTCATATTTAGATTTTTGTGCTATGTATGGTGAGGCCCAAGATTGTTGATTATGGTTCTGCAGGAATCAAGCCTAATATTCAGGTCAGAAGAGGTTTAGTGGGTAAACTTGCTGATTTTCAAACAAGATAAAATTGTGAAAAAGTGCATCTCCACCTAATTTCAAAAGAATATGTATTCTCTGAAATAATCACTAAAATAGAGCAATTTCTATAGCATAAATCTTGAATATTTTGAAAGAATACTTGATATATATTACCAGCTCTGGCGATCTGAAAAATACAATCTGATTGGAAATGAAACGATAATGACTTCTTGCACTTTTGGTTGACGGTTCCCTATGCTAACACGGGCTTTCTTAGTGCTTTGTTATTTTTCACTTTATTTTTTAGAGGTGATTGACCGGAAATCATATTTCTGTGCATCCCGTTTCAGGTATTACATGTCAAATCTTCTCCACCTGTTCAAAGTACCTCTAGTATATACAATGATCCTGCCATTATACAGGTAAAATGGATCTTATAAATTCCCATCAGTGGACCAATCCCCCGCACAAGGTGGATTTCGTATTAATATAGCAGATACTTGTTTGGAAAATTTCTTAGTAAGCTGTTTAAATTGTTTCATTTCAAATCCATGACTTTCTCTGGATATTTTATGCTTGCATCGTATTTTTTTAGCTATAAACTCATTACTCCAACTCATTTCTTCTGCAGTCTCACTATGTTGCATCTACAAGCTTGCCTTCTGCTGGTACTGGATCTTCACAACATCTTATTTCTCATGCTTCACATGTGGGACTACCCATGTCAACAGTCCAATCCAGTCTTCCCTTATATTCCCCCAGTGGGAGTTCAGGGTCATGGATTTCATCACTTCCTCCAACCACTAATGGCACCGGGCTTGAGGAGCCAATGCATCAGCAAGGATTCTATGGGGCTTCAGTTGGGCTTCAAGCCCAGCACCAATATTGTCTTCAACCCTCACCAGGCTTGTCAATGGCACTTTCCATGCCGGCGATGCTGCAATCAATGCCATATCCTGCTATTAGTGCATTTTTACCTAGTGGAGCTTCTAACCTACCAGCTACAAAGTTGGCAGATTTTCCACCTCCTTTCCTGCCACGTTTCAGCAACGGCACCCTGAATCAGAACTCATCTATACTTCCCATTCTGTCTACTGCCATAGCTTCAGACTCAACAAGAGCTTTGATGTCTGACAAGGCTTCTACTCCAGCTCTTCCTGAAACTTTTACTACTAGCCTGCCATTGGCATCTTCATTTGCTACTCTTTTGGATAAGAGTGCCATTACACCAGCTGTTCTTGATAGGCTGAAGACTAATACTAGTATGATACTGCCGTATAATACTGCCTCTGAACCTGAGACTGCTGCTGCTGGGACATCAGGTTCTTTTCTGAATGAGGGATCCCCACTTTCTTCAGCAACCCCGGATCAACTTTTGCAGTCTGGGCCTACATCCCAGCCTTCCCGAACAACTCAGCGGGCTGTTCAGGTATCATCTTCAGAACATTCGCTACCAACAGGAGCAGAAGCTCTGGGACCGATACTCCCAATGCCAACGATACTTCCTCTGCCTGTGCCACCTGATCGCAAGGTATTCCCGTCACATCCATAATTTACTCTGCCAAACTTCAGATGCTTGTGTTTTATTTATGGACAACTTCCAGTGACATCAGATCTGGTGTTTTGAAAGGTCTACTAATTGTTTTTTTTTTCCTGTTTCTTGGCTAAAATTCTGTCTTTGTTTCACTTTCTTTCTCAATTTCTTTACTTTCTCTGGGTCTTATTTTCAGATTATCTCTGGTGTGGTGGGTGAAGTGCAAGATTAATGCTTACTTGATTATTTATTTGCAATTCTTTGATTTTTTGGTACATTTCATTTTATTTTATTCTTGTGTTCTTGATTTTAGAAGCCATTCTTAGTGAATTTTCATAAAGTGCAATGAAGTTGCAATGTAATTTTGATGTTGATGCGACCTTCACTAGGGCTAGAAGATAGTAAAGAAAATGATAAGGGACAAAACAAAAGAAGACAGAATTATTCAGTTGGACAGAGGACATATAGACAAGGGAAAGAGGAGACATAGGGTAAGGTAATGTAAGAGGAGATAGAAAGAAAAAGGTGAGGAGAAGCGTTAAAGGTGTTTGAGCGACGTAGAAGATAAAAGAGGCAAGAATCACCCGCAAACCGGTAAAAAGAAAACACAAATGCAGCTGCTTTTACTTACAAAGTGAGCATAGAATGTAGCTGCCTTTACGTACAAAGTGAACATAGAATGAAAGCAATGGGAGAGGAAGTCGGCCAAAGAGGGAGATAAAACTCTAAAAGACCTTTTCACTGAAACACACTTTAGGTCCAAGAGGTCCCTTTTGAGGTCTTAGAAAACCTTTATACAAAAAATAACACAGCAGGGCATTATTACGGTGAGAGGACAATTTTTGTTTTTGAACCCCTTAATTATGAAAAATGCAGCAATATTGTTGGAAAATACGCTTACTAAGGTTGATTACCACAGGTTATACCTACCATATCAGTTCCTCGTTGATCATAGGACAGATAAACCTTAAAAATTCTACTTATTTGCAGTCTGTCCTAATCAGCAGTCTAGGATGTTGGGGTTCATTTTGTGTGATGTTAGCGTGTGGAGTGTGCGTTTCTTACCTCTTGTTTTTCACCCAATATGAATTTTCTAGATGTCCATATGATACTCTCTTTCAAACATCCACTAGATTGAAGTGTATGAGGGCTGATAACCATGGGGAAGGGGGGGGGGGGGGGGGGGAGGGGAGAGTGGGTGAGGGTTCAATCTCAACTCAACTCAAGCTTTGTCCCAGCATTTTAGATGAGGGCCGAGTCTGAGTTAACAACATTCACCATGCTTGTACCTCTGTCTTTGGTGTAAATCCACGCATTGCTACCAGATTAATGTAAAATTTGGACAGCCGAATTGTTCTTCTCATCATTATTAAAATCGAGCATAATCAGATTCATTGGGCTGCTCTGTCCTTGAATTCTTGGTATTATTTGAACCCTCGTTAATGAAAAATGTTCAGATGGCACCATCCATGGTATTAGTAACATGTGCATCCATTCATCCTGTGTAATCTTAATTTGGATTATTTCTGTGGGTTGAAACCATCCAACTTGTTCTGTTTTTTTGCTCCCTTTTTTCTATTTTACTTTCTAGTTCAGTGGAGTTCCTTCAGTCACTCGTGGCAATCGTCGAGGGGATCATGAAAGATCCAGAGGAAATGGGGTAATATGTTACTTTTTGTTGCATTTGAGATACAATTTATTTGTACTTTGGTGATCTAATAACAAGAACCTTATGTGGATCAGTTTCAATGAGTTTTGCCTTGGAGTTATGTATCCGTGGCCTTGTAGTGTCTCTCTAGCTGAACTGTACAATGTTGTGTATTGATCTTGCATGCAGTTGCATCCAGTGACCAGATTCACAGAGGATTTTGATTTTATTGCAATGAATGAAAAGTTCAAGAAGGAAGAAGTGTGGGGTGATCTTAGTAAAAATAATGCAACTCAAAATGGACATGGTTCACAAGATGAGGAAGATGCAGGACCGTCAAAGATTGAGAGTAAGGTATTTCTTTCCTCTTAGGTTTCAGTACATACATATACTCTCGATTCAACAAAGTATTAATGCTACTACTTGGGGTCTATGTGAATTCTTTTGCCATTCTATACTCGCAAGAACATAATCTGTATTTTAACCACATGCTACCACGGCCTTCCTTGCTACCCCATTGCAGATAATTAAATTTGACGTATATGTGTGTAAAATATATTACTAGTGCATTGTCACAAGAGTTCCATAATTTGTTGTTTTACAAATGGTTGGTGTTTTTTGGTTCTGATGCCCTGTTTTACAGCCTGCTTACGTTAAGGATGACTTCTTCGATTCCCTATCTTGCAATGATTTCGGTCACGGATCGGATAATGAGAGGACTAAGTTCTCTGAACAAAGAAAAATAGATGTAGAGGTACTGTTCCAAATCCTTGTGGCAACTTCTTGGTAAATTTGCATAACTAGCTTTTTGCTTATTTTCTTTTGGTCTTTCTCATTTTTTCTGCTTTCCCTCCCATCAATTCTGACATAGTAGCCATGGAAGAACCTTGTCAAAGACCATCATTATCTTCTCTTCTTCCCCATTCCTTTATCACTGTCAATCAAACAATTCTCATGATGGTGATATTGCTTTTTGCAGACATTTGGTGATGCCAAGAGATATCATGGGGATTGTGGTCGTGGTCGTGGTCGTGGTCACGGCTGTGGTGGTTTTCGTGGGTTTGGTCGTGGTGGCCATTCACGTGGTGCTTATAAAGGGAGGAGCTATGGTTATAACGGGAGAGGTCGAGGGCGGCAGGCATAGGATGTAGCAGTATGTCAAAGTCTAACCACACTTATACAACAGCACTTGGGGTGGTGTGTTGCAATAAGTTGAACCTAAATTCTTAGCTAGCCTGCACTTCAGAGCAGGAATAAGTCGATACCCCTGTTCTTTTCTTTCTTTTATTGGATTCTTTTCGTGATTGTTATTATATTCCTCTGGTAGTTGCTCCGAAGGACTTGTCCTGGTGCACAAGCAAAACCCTAAAGATGAAGAGATTTTTACTTCACTCTACAGGAAAACAACTATCCGATTGACCTCAAATGATTTTATTTTCTCCTAATTTCACCAGCTCAACTATGAGTTCAATTTATTTATTAATAATAATAATAATAATAATTACTATTATTATATTAAAAATATGTTGAATGCAAATAAATAAATAAAATTCAATACAATATTGTTATCATTTTAGTCTAGACGTTGACAAACAAACTTCGTTACCCTAAAATATTGGTAGAAGTCCCATTCTTCAAAATAATATAATTTTTTATATATATAATGATATCAAATTTCATTGTACACAGAAGGATAATAATTTTTGACATATTACAAAAATATAATTTAAAATTGATATAAAATTAATAAATTAAAATTAATTATTTTTTAACATAAATAAATACATAAGTGATACAAATCAAATTAATAACAGGTTTTGTGACGACTTTTAAGCGTCCAACGTGGAGGCACTTGTTGAGGAGACTCAAAAGGGTTTGAAAAACTAGCCTGATCCGATTGGGGACAATTTTTTGATTTTCCATTACCAGACAGATCTGAACACAAAACCCTAGATTTCTGAATCCTCCAACCGCCCTATAAACTGTGCAATCGCCATTGATGAACACCTTCTCTGCGTAGAGCACATATCCTTTGTGTTTTCTTCTCTCCGTGGAGTCGTTGGCAATGGCGGTTCCGGTGGTCAAGTTTCCGATCTTCTATGTGGTGAGGTTCATCGGAATCGCAGTGGCATTTCTGGTACTGACGTGGACTCTGCATTACAGGGGAGGATTGGCTCTCATCTCCGACGACAAGGACCTCATCTTCAATGTATGTTCTTTTTTCGAACTCCTATCCTCTGCTGCCATCACACACACACACACACACACACGCACGCACAGTTTTTGTTGCTAGGTTTGTTGTTGTACTGTTAAAAATAAACGTACGTAATCCAATCAGGGACATGGATTCTCGCTTAAGGTTTGTGTAGAAAGAGAAATGAGGTAATTTAATTCCCATGGGGCTACAATATATTTCGTTGGTTTATTACTGGAGCCGTGGTTGTTGAATTGTTCCCATGGAAGGGTTGATAGCTCTGATTGGTTCATGGGAACAAGGAGAAGAAGGGAAAGGAAAAGGAAGAGAAAAAGATAATAGAAAAATAAAATTTACACAAATGACACCTTCTTGTGTATTACCAATGCACCAAATTAACTTGACTGATCTATTCGGAATTTCAAATGGCTTCTGAACAGTGCTGAGGTATTTTGACCTCTGATCATGTTGGTTCAGGATACACAAAAATTGATTTTATTTACAATTCTTCCCAATTGTTTCATTGATGGCTTCCATATTAGTAATCCATTTGGGTATATTTGATTCTCGCTTAAGATTTGTGTAGAAAGAAAAAATGAGACAATTTAATTCCTGTGGGACGACAATATGCCCTTGGTCTATTATTGGAGCCGTAGTTGTTGAATTTTTCTCATTTAAGAGCTTATAGCCTCTGATTGGTTCATGGAAACAGAGACACAAATAGCAAGGAAAAGGAAGAGAAAAGATAATGAAAAATAAAATTTATTTCATGGATGATTAAAAACATTTTTGTGTTCCATGGATGACAAGAAACATTTTTGTGTTCTGTTTGCTTATCTTGGTGTTATTGTTGTTGTTGTGTATCTTCTACAGGTCCATCCTGTTTTAATGGTCATTGGCCTTGTACTTTTGAATGGTGAAGGTGAGTTTGGTTTTCTAGGGCATTTGTTGGCTATATTTATTTGAATTTCACTTCAAAGTTCTTCACTGTAATGTGGAAAATGCGATGATTTTTATGTGTTCTGGATACGCAATGTGTGGTGTGACAATACAGTGGAGTTGGTTAGGTCTGTATGCTCATATTCTGTTGTGTCTCTATGTATCTACAAGTGAATGGAGAACATTGTGGTAACCTTTTCTCGTCTCATGTGAATCAATTGTGGTGGACTTGTTAGATATTAAATTTCTGTTGGGATATAATGCTGAATTGATGCAATGTAAACTTTCATGTGTTATCAAGAGTAAAGAGAAATATGACTGATGATTTATCTGTTCTCTTGGTCTATAAGTGATTTGTTGCCAATGTTGTCATTTCCCCTTCCTTCCTGTTACTTTTAGAATTATGCTTTTGATTTCTTGGCATGGGTTGATGCAGCCATGTTGGCCTACAAAACGGTTTGTGGAACCAAAAGCTTCAAAAAGTTGGTTCATCTGTCTTTGCAATTCCTGGCTTTTTGCTTGAGCATAATTGGTGTATGGGCTGCATTAAAGTTTCACAATGATAAGGGCATTGACAACTTCTACAGCCTGCATTCATGGTTGGGTCTTGCTTGCCTGTTCTTATTTGGCGTCCAGGTCCTTTACTTGTTCTCCTTGCCTCCTCTCCTTTCTCTTTTCCTCAGTGTAAAACATATGCTTACCAATAGAGATAAAGTTATTTATTTTTGGGAGAATACGGAGCTGTCAAATTACATCATTTCATTTTTTTCATAATTCCTCCCGCGCAGTGGACTGCTGGATTTGCAACCTATTGGTACCCTGGTGGTTCAAGGAACAGCAGAGCTACCTTGTTGCCATGGCATGTATTCTTTGGGGTTTATGTTTATGCCCTTGCTGTTGCTACATGCACCACTGGTATTCTGGAGAAAGCCACATTTCTTCAAACCAACAAGGTAATATCACGTTACTCTGTCGAGGCATTGTTAGTGAACTCTTTGGGCATCTTGATTGTTGTTCTAGGTTGTTTTGTTATTCTTGCACTCATCTCTCCAATGAATGGGAAAGGTGACACTCTCAGAGGACCAAAAGAGTAGAGCATGAGTTTACCTGTTTGAAATTCAATCTTGACTAAGAGTTGTATCTTCAACGGGCTTGTACTTGTACAGATGTAAATTTTTTTTTTTATAGAGAGAGAGAGAGAAAGCGCGACAGATGAAACTGAATAATGAATAATTTTTCCTTGATTGGCTATTTATAGTTAAATAGATGATAATTTCGATTTATAACAGGTTGGTATTGCGAGTGGCAGTTGTAAGATGCTATAACCACACTTTCCTTTACCGTTATGCTTATGTGCTGTTTTACATGCTTCTTATTGCTATTTCTCATTAAGAATTTACCATATTGACCTTCATTACATAGCACATCGAGCCACACAAACTCAAATTTGTAACACCTTGAACACGTGGACCCATGGCAGATTATTAGTAAAACTTTGAACAGGATAGATGTAAAATTGCACTGTACTGTTTGAAATGTTTATATTCTTTAGGAGTGTCCATGGTCTGGGTCGGGCCAGGCCTGTGAATTTTTTTGGGTGGAGCCTAATAAAGTAGGCTCAAGTTCTTACTCAAGCGGGTTATCGACCGAGCAGGGTCGATGTAGGTTACCTACAGCCCAGTCTACCACTCATTAGGCAATTATATATATATATATTAGGCGTAACCTGTACTTAAAGGTACGGTGTAATATATATCAACCGATTTATTTAAAAAAATGTACTGTAATTTGCTTTAATTAAAGACATTGAAATCATTATAGACAAGTTGACATTTGTTGGCAATTACTATTTTGACAAAGATTGCTCTAACAACAGAAGTTGGGAAATTAACAATTCACAATTAGACATAACAATAATCAATAATTAGAATTCATGATCAAAATTCTCCCAAAAATACCATTTCGGACCCACCAAACAAAAGAAGCATCAATTTCAATCAAAATACATCAATCACACGTGTGTTTAGTTCACTTTATTAAGCTCAATTCACACATCAGACACGCAAAAAAAAATCTTAGGCAAACAACCAATGATTGAAAAAACTTTGCAATCCACGAAAATTTGATTAATTTCATGATGGTTATTGTTTATTTCATTTAATTAAAGGAAGTAAAATCAATGTAGTAAAAATATTTTTTGGGTCACATAAATCAATTAATCTAGAAATAACTTGATTTTTTTTTTTTAAAATTTCAACATGATTTCTTTTGAAAATAAGATACCATAAAAATATGAATCTATATGCGGAATTGACAAATGGCCGAAACAGTCTCACAAAATCAACAATCCATACCCAACAACCAAAATAACAAGCAATTTCACATAAAGCCAAAATAAATCTCCATAAACATTAATTAGTTTACTGTATTAAACACAGAATAACAAAAATCCACACAAATTCGATGAATTTGATACATGTTAGTATTTATATCATTCAATTAAAGAAAATTAAATCAATCTAATAATAACCTGTTATTTTTGCAAAATTTTGATGAAATTTCCTTTAAAAATAGGAGATCATAGAAATGTCAAACTGTATACATAACTGTAAAACAAACATTACAATCCCCAAAATCAAACAATCCATACCCAACAACCCATGCCCAAGGGCACGACGCAACCGCAATTGTACATCACAGTTTAAAATTGAGTTGGTGTCTACCCTGAAAATGAACAATATAAAATGTAAAAACATAGCAATTTTATGTACACCTGAATATACGATACAATTTTAGGAATAATTTACGAGCGTATTTAGACTGTATATAATATATCCACCATATCATATGTTTACCCGGTTGTTATATCCAAAATAACACAGTGTTTTTGATCAGTTGCAGAATAGACAACTACATGATAATCAGAGTTGCTGTGGGGTATGAAACGACAGCCTTGCGGAAACAATCGGCCAACGCATCCAAATATTTGGCTATTCTGCAAAATGTAATTAAGCCTAGCATCCCAATAATAAAAAACTCTGCATAAATCAACAAAGAGTCCAATAAAGAATAAAAAACCCACAAAATCATCTGAATAAACAAATTTTGACCTCTTCATCCCTTTTTTTTTACAATAAAATTGAAATTAATAACCCTCTTAGCCACTCACATATAATCTTTCACTCTCTTTAATACAAGAAAGCTTGGCTTCAGATCACAAAATTCATCAGGTAAGTTTTGCTTGTGACAGGGATAAAGTTGCAAAGAAGTGACATAACTACATATACATATAAATTGATCTGCTTGACACATATATAAAAGTTATGTTTCAACGGTAGGTTCAATTCTTTTAATACAAAATACAAAACATATGTTCCAACCTCATGTGAAACAAACAAAAAGAATGTATAAATGCATATAGCCATTTTGCATCTTTATATATATATATATATATATTTTTTTTTTTTGGGGGGGGGGGAAGGGGGCATTCCTCCTTGACGTTGGGTTCCTAAATGAGAAAGTTTTACCTTCAAAATTTTTATCTAACTTCACTTTCACAACATTTTTTTATTAGTCAAGAAGTTAAAAACAAAATTGTTGTGTTTGGCCATTAAGAAGAAACAAAAGGAGGTGAACCCTGAAGGCTGAAGACTATCACACACATCTTTCAAAACTATCACCATCTAGAACCACCTTCAAATATCGTAAAGAAATCCCACCCAGCATGATAGACATCAAAATCATCAATTGTTGCCAAAGTTTTCCTATAAAAAAGGCAGCGCACAAAGAGAAAACAAAATGAAATCAATAAGAACCTATCAAAGGAACAACTAACAAAATTTCAATATTCTATACTAAACCAATTCACTTTTTCCGAATTCAATGATGTTTTCCCACATTATTTCAAATCAGATATATCCAAACTCAAATAAATCATCTTAACAATATATAAGGGTAAACATATTTGATCATTTCAATGCATAGCAAGGATCAATTTCAATTACCAAATATCATTAACATTCAATTTATTCAACAGAAAACTACCCAGCAGTTGCCCAACAATTCCAACTAAGAACTAACCCAACTCAATTTTCCCACCACGCACATCTTCACCGCCACTGAACCTCTCGTTCTCATCTTGAAACCATAATTGCTATAAGGAACTAAAAATTACACCAACTGATAAAATAATAGCACCACATTGATCATAGAAGACCTATGTAGAAACAATAACACCGCACCGATAAAAATATCTAGGTCTTCTAAGACTCACTGTTAAGCCCATGAAAAACCATGTGAATCCTTGGAATACCACTACCAGCCAAACATGAGGAAGTATTCCAGTTTTCACAAAAAAGAAACAAAAGACCATAGAAGTAGATAACTTAAAAGATTTGAGATTTTTACCTTTAACTTGAAGCGAAAAAGAACTCACCCTTGAACATGGTTCTGCCAAATTGAGTGTTATTTGTTGAGCCTAATTGTTTCGAGGTCAGTAGGTCATTCTGTGAAGGTCAGGTACTTTATTGTGGTGTTTTGGTTAATCATGATTTTTTAAGTGTATTTTTTTGGTGCATTTTAAGATGCTAGAAATAAATTTAACTTGTTTCTTTTTTTCACCAAAATATGATCAATTATCTACACTTTATCTCTTACATTATGAGGTTTGTGTCACTTTACCCACTCAATAGTCACGTTTTTCATATTGCAGTTTCAAATATAATTGTTAATTTCATATTGTCCCATGATTTACGTCCATTTAAGATTTGAAGGAACATTATTTCACTTTCTTCTCCAAATTATGAGATATTGTTTCATTTTGTCCCTACACACTGATATATTTGTCTAAAAAATAACATACATTTGTATTTTTGATAGTGTAAAATCAATTCAAATAATTGAGGGGATAATGTGAAAAATTTAATAATTGAGGGGGCTACGCGACAAAAATCCTGTAGTTTGAGGGAGCATAGTACAACTATAACTAATCCAAATAGGATATATACTACCTTTTTTCCTCAGGCTGATATATACTATTTATAGATATTCATATATATGCAAATTTTTTATTTCTTATATTACTCTTTAGCCTTTCCCTAATGCTCATCCATGATAAAATCTACAACCCTTTAGACTTTTATTTGTCAGTAGCGATGATAAATTTTTTATTTTTTATATTATTATTCAACTCTTTTCAAATTTGTCAATTCAAAGAAGAGAGATAAACTTGGTATTCAAATAGAGAAGAGAGAGAAATAAACTAACACTTGACAAGAAAACTCAGTGTATAAGTGTGATATGTGTTCTCTGTGTGTGTGTGAGTGTGTGTTCTGTGTAAGTGGACGGGTGGGGGTGGGGGTGGGGGTGTTGCTGGGGTGAAGGTGGCTTAACAGAGAGGGAGGGAGAGAGAGAGTGAGGGAAAGAGAGAGAGAAACATTTATTTAAAAAAATGACTAAAATAAAAAATTCTTATCTTTATGTTGTAAATGGCCTCAATAAACACAAAGAGAAAAAATGTTAGTAAATAAAGTAGAGAAAGACATTGATGGTTGAAATTTAGATTTATAAAACCATTGTTGTAAACATATTTGAGAATCCAATTGCAATTATCTGAAGGATTTTGTAACACACCTAAAAAGCCCTAAATCAAAATCAAAATAAGCCATAAAATCTGGGTTTAGGCCCAATTGACACCAAACCCTAAAGGGTGGGGTTGGTGTGGTGAAGGGAGATGATGAAGGGGTGGTGGCTGTGATAGTGGTGTGGGGCTGTCTTGATGGCAAATCTTGGAGAGAGAGAGAGAGAGATACCTGTGAAAGAGTGATGCAGAGTTTAGGTTGTTATTGTCGGAGTGGGCCAGTTAGTGATTCTTTGGAATGGGTTGTGCGTCGCTGAATCTCTATTCATCGAGTGGGGAGAGAGAGAGATTTATAACCCAAAGTTGAGTAAGAAAGGAGGAAAAAGTGGGTTGGCGTGGTGGTGGGGGGAGAGGATGAAGGGTTGGTGGTTGTGATAGTGGTGTGAGACTGTGGTGATGGAAAATCGTGGGTAGAGAGAGAGAGATAACAGGGAGGGGGAGATGGTGAGAGAGAACGAAGGCCTGATGGTGTCTTGACTTTAAGGGAGGGTGAGAGAGAAAATTGGATGAGATGAAATTGGGGGAAAATATTAAAAGATTAAATGAGAACTTCTTGACCGAGTGTTCAACTGGAGAGAGAGAGAGAAAGGCTCTTTGTGTTCAACTGGAAATGAGAACTTTTTTTTTCTCTCTCTCTCCCTCGTCACTGCCTTTGTATGTGTTCAACTGGAGAGAGAGAGAAAAAAAAGTACCTGGACTTCATCGATTATAGGTTGAATGGCGGTGGGTTGAGGCACGACAGAGCAGCAAGAAGGAGAGAGACAGAAAGAGGGGCTCTGAGATGGGTATTCTGGAAAAGAAAGAGAGAGAGAGAAGGGAGCGTCTGGGATTGTGTGCGAGAAAGAGTTTGATGGGTTTGGGCAACGTGTAACTGTGTAAGTGTTGGGTAGTGTGTAGAAATTGTTTTGGGTGTAATTTTTTTTTTTGTCAGCGATGAATTTTTAACCGTTAGATGAAATTAAATGAAATCTGTACCGTTTAAAAAAATTAAATTTAATTTGAATTATTTTTGAGAAAGTTGTTGGTTACAGTTAGACGAATTAATTTGAGACCGTTGGATTTATTTATTAAAATTGCCATGTTTTATATTATAGATATAATTTTATTTAAAAAAATTTAACTTAATATTTTTGTAAATTAAAAATTTAAATTAAAATAAAATATAAAATAAATAAATGAATTATTTAAATAAAATAAAATCATATATTACCATCAAATTTTTAAAATTTAATTGTCAATTTTTTTCAAACAATTAGGTGAAAAGTGGAACGGCAGGCGGATTCTTGGATCGAATTTTAATGGGTTTTTGTGAGTGGACACATGGGCTAAGTTCATGTCGGGTAATGAATTGAGGGCAAGTCTAAACTCTTTCTTGAAGGATATTGAACTAGAACTTAGACTTAGGTGAGCCAACTGAGTTGGACACCCGTTTCCGATGATTCTCCACAAGAAATGGTGAACACACTATTTTACCAAAAAAGAAATGCTAACACCCACGGGATCGCATGAAGTTTTAAACTCGTAGTTATGGGCATTTGAAATCCACAATCCAAAAATCAAATGAAAATTAAGGTCTTGTTTAATTTGCATCTCAAAAAATAGTATTCGAAAATTATTTTTGAAACGAATTTTAAGAAAATATTTTTAAAATTTTTAGATTACAAAATCTGTTTAGTTATATATTTTTTAAAATAATTTTAAAGAACAAAAATTATAAAATCTGTTTAGACAATAATCACACTTTCCACCTCTTATTTCTTTTCCCTCTCTCTATCTCCACAAAACACACGTGCGCATGCACGCATACACACAGAAATCCGTGTAAATTTGAATATGCAATTGTTGCAAAAGACAGAGAAAGAGAGACAAATTTAAAATAAAATAGAGAGAGAGGAGAGAGAGACAAATCTGAAGGACATTGAAGAAGACGCTAGAGAAGAAGACACTAGGCTAAGTGGAGAGAGGGAGAGGGGAAGGGAAAAAAAAAGAAGGAAGTCTTTTGCTGTTAAGGGGACACAAAGGACAAACCTCATTAAAATTTCTAAGCCAATCTGTCTCCGTGTTTTCAAAATTTCCTAGAAATGTATCAAAAAACATGGGCTAAGTTCATGTTGGGTAATGAATTTGAGGGCAAGTCTAAACTCTTTCTTGAAGGATATTGAACTAGGACTTAGACTTGGGTGAGCCAACTATCAGGCTTCGGGTCAAGTAACAGGACCCTTGAACCAACTCGACCTCTCCACAAGAAATGGTGAACACACTGTTTTACCAAAAAAGAAATGCTAACATCCACGGGATCGCATGAAGTTTTAAACCTGTAGTTTTGGGCATCTGAAATCCACAATCCAGAAACCAAATGAAAATTAATGTCCTATTTAATTTGTATCTCAAAAAATAGTATTCGAAAATTTTTTTGAAAAAATTTTAAGAAAATATTTTTAAAATTTTTTAGATTACAAAACTTGTTTGGTTATATATTTTTTAAAATAATTTTAAAGAACAAAAATTATAAAATCTATTTAGACAATAATCATACTTTTCACCTCTCTATTTCTTTCCCCTCTCTCTGTCTCCACAAAACACACTTGCACACAAAACACACGTGCACACGCGCACACACACATAGAGATATGTGTAGATTTAAATCTACAATTGTTGCAAAAGACAGAGAAAGAGAGACAAATTTTAAGCACAATGGAGAAAGAGGAGAGAGACAAATTTAAAGCACACTGAAGAAGACGCTAGAGAAGAAGACACTAGACTAAGTGGAGAGAGAGAGAGAGAGAAGGGAAGGAGAAAAAAAAAAGAAGGAAGTTTTTTGTTGTTAAGGGGACTTGAAGGACAAACCTCATTAAAATTTCCAAGCCAATCTGTCTCCATGTTTTCAAAATTTTCAAGAAATGTAATAGAAAACAAGCAAACCTTATTTTCTGTTTTTGTGCTCTAAATCTCATTTTTTTTCAAAAATTTGAGAACAAAAATATTAAACAAATAGGTTTTTAGTGTTTTAAAAATTTTGGGAACAAAAACAGTTTTCGGGAACAAAACGAAACACACCCTATTTCAATGATGCTGTGCTCACCAAAAATCAACAATCCATTGACTTGGCTCTAGGAGTCTGAAAGACCTAAATAAGAAAAGCCTGAAAACCACATAACAATTAAAATTAAATACAACAAAGCCTTGTTCCAACTCTTCCTTCAAAAGAAAAATCATCACATTGGCTTAATCACTCGATGATCAGTTTGAACTATCGGAGGGGGGCGGAAAAACTCACTACAACATTAAAAATGCATTTCCTAAAACTGTCCGGAGAGGCGGGTAAATCGCACTCTTCACGGAGTCAGGAGCAAAAATAGTACCCAAAGTATCAGACACGTCATATAATAAGACATGTAACACTGGTCCAAAAGGAAGAATGGAGAGAAGAAACTAGTAACACAATTTCTGTTGAAGCTTCACTATCCCATCAGTACCCAAAAATTGAAACACCTCTATGATTTGCCAACGACTTCCCTAAATCCATAAGTGTTCTTTGCGGTATTCTCGAACTATGACAGGAACACTTGTAGGAGGGATCTGGATAACAATAATAGTATTAAATGGTAAGCAAAAGAATGAATCAGTACACAAAAATATGTACCAACTTATGATATGATACTTTTGCAAGTTCCAAGTTAGAATGCAGCTCATATATGTTCATGCCAACCATACATAGCTCAAATTATGATTCAATACAAAGCACTTAGCAATTATAATGTGACTTACCATGCCATAATCTGTGATGATCATTGACACATAATCTGAAGGTGTTGCATCATAACTGGCACAATGAAAACCAAAATATGAGCCTATTCTTCTATGGTCAGCTGCAACAAACTGAATAAACGAGTCAAGAATAGAATAATACTTACATTAGATTCAGGAGTTGTAGATTTTCCCTATTAGCCCAATCATCCAAATAGTTGATTTCCTTTCTACCAGGAACCTTTGAAATGGCATCTGGATCACCTGCAACACATCAAGTGGATTACTGACCTGCTTAAATGACAGGGATAGTGCAAGACCATCCATAACATCAAAAAACAACTCCAATATAAACGGTAATCAGAAAGCAAACCCAGTTCATTAGAGCAGATTGAATCAAGCTGCACCCTCTCGTAGAATTTATATGCTTCACAACATATTAAGACGGGAACATGGAATTGATGAGCAACCATAGCAACACAGGCAGTCCCAACCCTTGAGTAGACAGTTCCATTAGACAACACCGATGAAGCCCCCAAAAAAACTCGATTAACTTCATGCATGATATAAGAGACAGCATTTATATGCGTATATGTACAGGTGATACCCTTTCTGACCAACCTATGAAGTAATAGTCGTCCTTCAAGCTTTGGACGCGAATCTACTACCACGACACGGAACTGTTTGCCAATGTCATGGGCATGCAAACAAATCATTTCGACGGCAGACGATGAGCCATATGTGAGAAGAACATCCCCATCCCTGATTTTTGTTACAGCATGCCTGACTATCACCTTATCTGCTAAAATTATTTTCTCATTTATAAAACGATCTATATCTGACAGAAGAGTTGCTTTTGCCTCGGACTCCGACAAAGTCAAAGGTAATTTGACAATTCGAGTTTTAAGAAACCTAATTGCATTCCCCATGCTGATCGAAAGGGGCCTGCATTCAATCAGGAAAGACACATAACAATTTATCTTCGCAGTCAAGTCCCTAATGAGAGCTTTCTCAGGTGGGGTTGAGTAGTCTTTAATTGACTCTTGGAATGCTTCAAGCATAGCAATGCAACGGGCATTGCCACCAGATATATCACCAGCTAAATATCTTAGCCCAGCCTGATTAGAAATATAAAGAGCCATAGTTAGCATGAAGCACGTAAAACAAGAGAGATTTAATTTTGCAATGCATGAGCTAGATCAACGGTCTTAATCACGACCATATCAGAAAGGATATAATAGCTGACTGTAACTTGGACATCCAACTTTAAACATCTGAACAAGAAATAGCTGAGTTAGAAACGTCTAAAGTTGGTGACCTTTACTGAGTTTTGAATTGTAAGCATACAACTTTAACCAATGTCAACAAAAGCTGAAAGTATGAGAAAATTTTTTCTGCAACTACCTTGTAGACAGCAGGATGAACTGGATCAAGTTGGAAGAACTTTGACTCAAGTTCAGGAAGTCGTGTTCCATGTTCATATTGAGGCAAATGCCTAAATAGTTCAACTCTATTCCTAGCTTCAGTTTGTTTCACTACTGAACGCTTTTTTGCCTTCTCCACTCGACTCTTGTCATCAAACTGCATGCGAGGATGAGGGACATCTTTCTTCCTCTCTTTATCTGGTGGACGATCACCTCCTCCTCTTCTCTCAGAAGCTGCACCTGGAGAACTGTCTTTCTTTTGTGAGGGAGCCTTTGTAGCTTTTGCCGGAGCTGCATTTGTTGAAAGCACTCCAGAAGTGGCCACAGGAGCCTTACTTCCTTCAGCTATCAATAGATCACATTGGAAAACATACAAAATGTCACTCTAATATGGCAAATGAGGATACAAATGCAATGTTGCGCAATTTGGACACTAGTTCAGGCATATAGAACTCCAGGAATATATATGACATTGCAGAGTGATCCATAAACTCCAGGTAAGAGGCACATCTCACAAGTGCCTCGAGCTTTAAGTGTTGGCTGTGACACAGGCTTGTAATATGCAGAGCAATTAATGCCACCAAAACATAGTAAATATGCAGAGCAATTAATACCAACACCACGCAGTAGCATATAAAGCAAGGAAACACTCGTAGCACTCAACAGGCTAAGATACAGATTTACCAGCATAAGAAGTTCAATCCATTAAAATAACTATTTATTGAACCAAAGAAGCAGTGTGCACCTTTTGCGGCTCGTTGAGCCTCTTGAAGGGCACGCCTTTCAGCCTTTGATGTCTTCTCTCTCAATGGCTTCAAACTTGCAGATCGTTCCTTTTGCACTTCAACAGATGGTCCTCCAACTTTTTCTGCAAATGAAGGTTTTGAATCTCTTTGGTCTCACAAAATTGCATTTATTGTAAAAAAATAATATCAAGACTAAAATTTTCATAAAGCTTTCTGCACAAAATTATAAGGGTCAGATGATTACAATCATTCATGTGATCAAGGGGGCCACTATTAGTAGTAGGAGGCCAGTTACACATTCTTTGCATTACTTAGCACAACAATTTCTCATCAAAGCAATTGAGATGAGCCAAGTATTATATCCCCCCAAGTCATGTAAATAAAATGGAACAAAAAATTTACTATATTTATTCAACCGTGCGATTTTTGTACTGTGCCTTTTTCACTCTGACCAATTTCTGTGATAGCATAGTTTAGTAGGTTGCAAATGCCTTACAGGTGTAGTTATAACCGAAGACAGTCTGTAATCTATTGCTAACCACCTATACCAGAGACACCGCTAACATGGGGAAAGTGGCCATATGCTGAGCTCCAAAACTTGTTAAATCCTCTTTTACCATTGAACTAAACTAGGTATGTAGCGGGACTCTAGGTGGCTTTACAGCCCCCAGATTGACACGTGGAATGACGAAGCCATTGTGATGCCCAAAAGGCGCTGAGGAGGTAAGCCGAGGTATGGTGTCCCGGAGGATCTGAGTATGACAATTGGCAGCACATTTAATACGATGTGACCTCTCATTTATGGCGGAATGAGTAATGGTGACAAGGCTATTAAATGTGCGCCTGCGAGCGCCTGCACTCTGAGAGCCAGGCCTATCATCATGATGGCTAGGCATTAATAGCTACTACGCCGAATATATACGATCAACTCTCCCCGAGGAACTGTTCTCCCGAGTATTCAATGCTCAGTTGCGGGTGTCAGACGCCGATCTGAGAAATGTGGATACTCGGGGAAGGGCATAAATGCTCGGCATGGAGCTGAACACTCGTCCCATCATCCTAGCATTGGGTAGGAGAAGACGTGAGTGGAGAACACTCATTGCGCGAAGAGGGGCATGTCAGACATTACATTTCCAGATGGGACTGGAGGTCTTTGACAATCATTACTAATTCAGGTATAAATACTCCTCAGAAAAATGAACAAAAGTACGCAAGATTAAACCAGAAAAAGATTATTCATTGAGCTTGAATCTCGAATCTTAAGACTGACTTAACCTTTGGAGGGGATAAGTCGAGTGTTCACCTGGCCCCCTTTTTCTGACCCTATGATTGTTTCAAGTTCATCAGGTTAGAGGTCGCTATCTCAAACGATTGCAAGAATTATCCTGTGTAATTTGACGCCGTCTGTGGGAAGGCAAGCATCTTTCCCCGTAGCGATCGTCTAATGGTAAACACTCGATCTCAGGGTGAAGGAGCAAATGTGCGTGTAAGGAACGCAGAGCCTGTCCAGCTTCCGATGGTCCTAGAATCGGGTCCATTGAGCCAGTCAGGTGGAGGGGAGTATTCCTCGCAACGAACGCTCCCTGTGGATCAAGGCCTTGGGGGACACGACCTCTTGGCTCGTGATATCGTTGAGATGGTGGAAAAGTGGATGGGCAAACGCATTATGCAACTTGAAAAGGAAAATGCCAAGGTCCGGCGACGGCTCGACGATTTTGAGTAGTCAGCTAGCGCGAGTGGGCGAAGCCGTGGGCGCGAGGACCAGGGCCTCAATTAAAACGTCTCTAGGCATCCCTGGCAAAGGGCCTCCAGGAAAGGTAGGCTTAAGCACACGCCCGAGGGGCGTAACCATCAAAGTGGATGCTCGGCCCCCAAGGAAAAATCGAAATCGAGCCAAAAAGCAAGTCTGTCTCAGCGGGACCTCCGTCGGGGGATACTCGAGGACATCGGAGCCGCCGAGTCACAAGCAGAGTCTACACCCAGGGGGCCTCGAGAAGAAAAACCCCGGGGGATCCCTAGATGCGCTGCGCCGCTTATTGCAACCCTGAGCCCGAGGTTGATGCCGACGAAGTTTACCGTCCAGGGTTCAAAATCTATGGTGGAAGGACCGATCCCGAGAGTCACTTACGGCAGTTCAAACAATTGATATCCATCTACGATACCGATCAACAGGTGTTGTGCCGAGTTTTTCTCATGAGCCTGGGGGACACAGGCATGCGATGGTACGAGAACTTAGCCCCAGAAAGCATCAGGTCCTGGAGACAATTGACGGAGCTCTTCATAGCTCGAGTCGTTACTAGTAGCAAGAAGTCGAAAGACATTGGCGCTCTATTGACACTTAGGTGGAAGGGAGGGGAGTCCCTTCGGCAATATGCCATCCGGTACTGGGAGGAGGTTAACGAGGTAGAGGCGTGTTCAGAGGCACTGGCCACGGCATCATTTAGGCTGGGGTTGTCCTGGGACACTGATTTATACAAGTCACTGACCAAGAAGGCTCCAGTGGACATGAAAGACGTAATGACTCGGATCAACAAATATGCCCGAGTGGAAGAAGAATCCTGCACGCCTGAGAACAAAGTCTCGGCGCTGAGAAAAAGAGAAAAGGAGCAACCGGCTCGGAGGGAAGGACCTGTTCCACCCCTAAATTGTCTGTCCTTTCAGGGGGTGAACACGGTCTTTAAAGAGCCCATTTACAAGATGTTTTACAAGATAAAAAATGAACACTACTTCAAGTGGCCCCCCAAGATGTTAGGAGATCCATCAACGAGGAATTCAGCTTCCCGTTGTTCATATCATAGAGATGTAGGCCATTTGACAGAGGATTGCAAGGTGTATAAATCCTTCCTGGAACAACTGGTACGAGACGGACATCTCGAGAAATTCATCGATAGAGGGGCTTCCGAAGGATCAACAAGGAAAAGAGTTGAGGCATCTGCTGAGGTGGTGCCGGTGATTGATGTCTTACATGCCTGTACTGTGGAAAGGTCGACGTATAACTCCCTCTGTGCCAAGCTGCAAAAGGACTCTCAAGCGGTTAGAGTGGAAGAGAGGGGTGAGGAGCGACCCTCCAAGAAGTCGCGATGCAGCATCGAGATTATTCAGTTTTCTGATACAGACCTCGGTGGGATAGTCCTCCCTCATGAGGATGCATTGGTGATCACTCTACGGGTCGACAAATTTGATGTCAAGAGAATCTTGGTGGACTTGGGCAGTTCTTCTGAGATGATGTATGATCACCTCTTCCGCAAAATAGATTTCTCATAAGGAGATTTAGAACCCGTAAAGACCTCCCTCATTGGCTTCAATGCTTCCAGCGCCCTCCCCCTTGGGAAAATCACCCTTATGGTGCGTACGGGGATTGTCACCACCCTAGTTGAGTTCGTAGTAATAGACTCCGACTTCCCGTACAACGTTATTATGGATAGGGCGTGGTTACATGCGATGAAGGCGGTCCACTCGTCCTATCACCAGAAGATTAAGTTCCCTACACCGCAGGGCATAATGGAAGTCCGAGGTGATCAAGCGTCGGCAAAAAGTTGTTTCTATGCCGCAATAAAGACTGTAGTGAGCGCCCGAAGTCAGGAGCGTGATCCTGAGGCAGTGGTTGCCAAATAGCAATCACAGTACGGTCGACTGGGGGTGGATGAGCCCATTACGGAGCCAGCCGACCGATCTACCAAAGCCTTGGTCAAAATTCTTTTGAGCCCAGATAGCGATGAGAGGTACTTTTTGATAGGGGAGTCACTCAACGATGCCGAGAAGATTGACATGGCCTTATTCCTATGCCAGAATTCTGATGTCTTTGCATAAACCCAGGCCGAGATGACGGGGATAAGCGCCGAGGTGATGACTTATCGGCTCCATGTGGGCCCATTGTTCAAACCCGTTAGGCAGAAGGCCCGGAGAACAACGCCTCATCATGCGAAGGTTGTAGATGAAGAAGTTGACAAGTTGTTAGGGGCAAGTTCCATCAAGGAAGTACAGTTTCCTCAGTGGTTATCCAACACGGTGTGCGCCAAGAAAAAAGAGGGGAAATTGCGAGTTTGCGTGGATTTCACGGACTTGAACAAGGTTTGCCCCAAGGACGAGTACCCACTGCCCAAGGTTGATCAGCTGGTGGATGCAACAGCCGGCCACAAACGAATCACCTTTATGAATGCTCGGGCAGAGTATCACCAAATTCCCTTACATGAATCGAATCAGGAGAAAACGGTGTTCACTACACCTCAGGGGATCTACTGCTACACAGTGATGCCCTTTGGGTTGAAGAATGCGGGGGCGATTTACCAACGTTTGATGAACAAAATTTTCAAATAGCAGCTCGGCAAAACCATGGAGGTGTATATAGATGATATGTTGGTTAAAAGCAAAGAGAGCGCCGA